CCTTTCCCACTAGTTGACCTTGCATTTTATTGAGATGCAAGATGGCTGGAGTCTTGACACTTAAAAATGTAAGGATTTATGCATTGAGGTCTTAATTAGACGGGAATGTCTACATTATTTACCAGTTCACGCCTCACTCCTCCTCAGGGGCAGGGCTTTAGCCCCAGGGTTCTATAATCTTGCATGAAATATTTCCAGCATTACGAAGCTCCTTCAAAAATAAATAAATATCAGCAGCTCCACAGATGTTTCCTTATTTGCCGAAGGTAAAAGAAGATAAACATGCTTACTGTGATTCACAATATTTGTGTAAAAGGCACCACACTAGAGCTGTCCTGAGTATGCTCAACAATAATATTTGGGGAACTTTAATTTCTTATCTTGGATGGCTCCTCGCCACATGGATGCAGCTTCAGCCTTGTCTCCCGGTGTCAACACCTCCAAAGTCAGAAGAACCTGGGCTTCCAGGAATTGCCTCCCCCAGTTAGACAAGGCTGACGAGGCTGGCTTCCCTCCTCGGTGGGTATCAAAGTAGAGGCCGGTTGCCCATGGTCTGCCACCCATGGCCACCTTTCCAGACCAGCTTAGCATGGCACATACAGCCCCTGAACCCCGAGAGGGCACATTACAGAGGCCCTTGCTGAGCCCTCTGTTGACCCAGGGTGCCTGGGTTGGCTTGAAGGCCTGCTCCTCTAGGAAGTGCTCAGGTACTGCTGGGGCCTCACTTGGAGAACAACTAGCCTAATGTATCTCTTTCCAAAGTTTCCAAAATTTTAAGTCATGGCTGGAAACTGGCTTGCAACAGTCGGAGAAGGGACTTGTTTGCAGTTTAATAAGGCCACTCTAGGACAAGTGTGGTGGTGCATGCTTTTGATCCCAGTACTCCGGCGGAGGCAGAGGTGGAGGCAGGAGGACATCTGTGAGTTTGAGACCAGCCTAGTCTACATGATGAGTTCCAGGCCAGCCAAGCCTATTTAGTGAGACCCTGTCTCAATCAATCAATCAATCAATTAATCAATCAATAATAACCCACCTAGGCTAGTTCCTAGGTGTTGGGCACAAGGCCATACTCAGAAGATCATCTGCCTGTTCCCGCACTTCTTAGGAGAGACCCAGATGTGGGAGGTGTTTATGTAGATTCTATAGCTGGCTGAACTTGCTAAACTTTGTTTAAGCCTGGTGCCTAAGACTGAGCTAGAGAGAGGAGGTGGCCTGGGAGGGTGTCCACAGGCTGGTGGATCCCCGGAGCTTGGGGGAAGGCTCTGTTAGTGAATGCAGTGTGGGTAACAAGTACATTCTGGCTGAGGGTCTGGGGACAAGTGCACATGTTCAACACGCACATTAAGAAGGGAGCTGAGCGGAGTGTAGGAAATGCAGCTTCCCAACTGGCAGCCTAAGGCCAGGGGTGATTCCTCCCCATTACGGCATAGTTCTGGAAGCAGTGTGTCACTCTCAGGGCACACACAGGGCTCACCTCAGTGATCTAGGCCTAGAGCTGCCACTCAGTGTATCTGAAGCTATGTAGCTGTCCTCCATACTCCCTACGGGGCCCACAACAATCATACCACTGGGGCTGCGGAGATGGCTCAGAGGTTAAGAGCACTGGCTGCTTTTCCAGAGGTCCTGAGTTCAATTCCCAGCAACCACAGGGTGGCTCACAACCATCTACAATGAGATCTGGTGTCCTCTTCTGGTGTGCAGACATACATGCAGCCAAAACGCTGAATACATAATGAATAAATAAATCTTAAAAAAAAAAGATATTCCTTAAAGAAGGAACCGTACTGTTATATTTCCTGAGTTTATGTTTGAGCCCTTTATTCCTTTGGTCTACATTTGTGTTCTGTGCCAGGCTCCAGTCTGGTTTGGTTACTATGGCACAGCTGTAGAATGTGAAGGGGAGCATTATATCTGCAGCATTGCTTCTCTTTGCTTCAAATGGCTTTGGCTATTTGGGAACTTGTTTACATTTGGGATCCACCCCCTGCCCCCATTCCTGGGAAGACTCTCCCTGGAATTTTAATAGGGATTGTACCGAGTATGTAAATTACCCTAGTAATATGTTCATTTCTATAACAGAACTCTGATCCATGACTATGAAGGGCTTCTTAAATTTTTTCGTTTTCTTATTTATATTCCCTTTCTTATTGCTCTGGCCGAGGTTTCAAGCCTCATTTTGAAGCAAGAGTAATGAGAACGGACACGCTTATCTCACTCACTTTTTCCCCATTTAGTACACGGTTAGCTATCAATCTGTTGTACACGGCCTTTATGCTCCTTCTTTACTTGCTTTAAAAACGTATCAACGTGTAATTTTGTTAAAGGCTCTTCTGCACTGGCTGTTCCATCTGTGTTGTATTACACTGGCTGATCTGCACATGCTGAACCATCCTTAAGTTTTAGAATGAGACCCATTCAATCATGGTGTGATCATATATATACACACACACACACACACACACACACAACTAAATGTAGCTCTAGCTGGCCTTGAACTAAGTAGTTGAAGATGACCCTAAACCTAAGTGTTGGGACTACAGGCATGTGCCACCAAGCCTGGCTACTTGCCGTTTTTTTGTGTGTGTTTTCACATTAGTTCGTCAGTTATTTTCATCTCTAACTATAAAATTATAATGCTGACTGTGCCATTTCAATTCACACCTCTTTCTTCTCTCAGTTCCATTTCCACCGGCAGCTTCTGGTCTGCCTCTTTGCAGCGGTGGACCCCATAATGCATTTGAGAATCCATCTTGAACTAGGGCTCCCTAACTTTGCAGGCAGTGTGGTTCAGGATAGAGTTGAGAAGAGTATTGAATTTGGAAGGCAATGTTGTTTCTGCTCCAAAGAACTCTTCCTTGTTGTGTAAAATTTACATATCCAAGACTGAACTCCATCTCAAAAAAAAAATCAGAAAAAAGCAAAAAGATCCAAATAGTATGAAACAACAACATTCTTAAACAGAAGGCACAAAACATACTTAATAGAGGTTTAAACAAATTCCACCTTCTCAAATGTCAGTATGACATACTGACCTCACAATGCGTGCCAGATGCTGTCCCCAAAGAAGTCACATGACACAATGACACACTAAAGCATGAGCTTTTTAGTGTTAGGCTCAAAGCTGTCCCCCACCCCCACCCCAAATGGCAGTGCAGGTGACAATATCCTAAATAGGACTTTAGCTGAGTAAATGAGGATTGTTACTGGGTAAACAGAGGCCTAAAGGTGGATCTCTATTATCCAGGAACCTCCTTAATCTCACCTCCAAAGGTCAACTACCTCGGGGAAAGGGCATCTAGTTCCCTGTCAACATGAACAGCCTGTATCAGCTCAAAGACCCCCAACCCTGTTGACTGTCATATAAAAATATCTTACTTTTCAGTCATTTTGCTCTTCTTTCTGCCCATCCCCCACCTCCCACATAGCCTTGGCAGTTTGATTCTCAATAAACCTTTCTCTCCACCCATGGAGTGGTCAAGTTCAGTGGTTTCACTGCACCCTCACTTACATTTGGTGCTGAAACCCTGGACCTATCAGCCACTAAGGACCAAACTTCAAGTGAAGATGCAGATGGAGAATTAGGATCAAAGGATACTTGACAGTTTCTTTCTTCTTTTGGTTTTTTCAAGACAAGGTTTCTCTATAGCTTTGGAGCCTGTCCTGGATCTCGATCTATAGTCCAGGCTGGGCTTGAACTCACAGAGATCCACCTGCCTCTGCCTCCCGAGTGCTGGGATTACAGGCATGCGCCACCACCGCCCAGCGACAGTTTCTTTAAGAATATCCAATCATTCATTCATTGTGTTAAGAGCTTGCAGGGGAGTGTAGCACTTGGCACTTAGGTGGAGTAGAAAGGGACTCTACTTAGCTTTAGGCATTTTTTTTATTCTGGAGTCATGTACATTGGAAAGAGAAATCCAAAGTATGGCTCTCCTCCTTTAAAGAATAGCATGGGGCTGGAGAGATGGCTCAGAGGTTAAGAGCACTGACTATTCTTCCAGAGGTCTTGAGTTCAATTCCCAGCACCCACATGGTGGCTCACAACCATCTGTAATGAGATCTGGCACCCTCTTCTGTGTACATAATAAATAAATAAATGGCTACATATGAATTAAGAAAACTGAAATCAACCAACCAACCAATCCCTGTCCCAAGAATAAACCATTAAAAAGAATACTGGGGCCAGGTCGAGATGGCACACACCTTTAATCCCTTGGGAGGCAGAGGCAGGCAGAGCACTGAGTTGGAGGCCAGCCTGATCTATAGAGTGAGTTCCAGGATAGCCAGGGCTGTTACACAGAGAAACCCTGTCTTGAAAAATCTAAATAACAAAAACCCTGGTATTTATTACAAGTTTTAGTCCACACATGGCTAACATGAGAAACTCAGACACCTCTCCCCCACCCCCCAGTCTTCTTTGTTAACCCTAAACTCCCATGGAGTCACAGGGGCTGTTTTGCTTATTTAGGGGTATTCAGGGATTCTGAGGCACAAGGAAAAGATCTTAAGATCTGCTTCGCCTTTGGGGGTGTAAGTCATCTCTATCCTAGTCTTTGGTGCTGCAATATGTATTCTTTCAATAACTTGTCAACACAGCACAATACGGCCAAATGCTGACATCTACACGGATGAGGTGCTGAGGATATATAGACCCACAGGGTCTGAACCCTTAGAGACTTTACTGCTGTCTCTTTTTTTAAGAGCAGAAAGGCCTTCTTTAAAAAGTCGAACAGGCTCAGTTCTGAGTTGCTTGCCGAGACAGAGTGGAGTATATTCTCCCGTGTCCCTTCACAGTGACGGGAGCTAAACTGATGATGAACACCGCAGGTCACAGAGAGAAGTCTGGTGAACAGACAGTGACAAGTGAGAATGTAGCCTGGTCAAGTGCAAGCAAAGCCCAGGGGCTTCAGCCGCTGTTGCTGGAGTCTTCCATTAGTACATCGCCCACAGACAAGCAAGGAGCAGACGTTTTAAGTGTAAGTAAGGTCTCACAAAGAACAGACAGGCTTCTTGTACTTTATTTGAGTTATTTTCAAACAACAGTTACAAAAGGTTTTAATTTTTATAATACTCTTCATAAGAAAATAAAATTTAAATAAAAATACATTCTCAACAATACAACATGGTTACACAAATTCACTATATTACGTTTTGATAACTTACATTTTCAAACTAGACACTGTAAAAACCAATATTTACTAACAACATATTAATTCCCGGGTTAAAAATGGAAGCAGATAACATCAATCAAGATCAGTAATTTAACTCTAGAATGAGTTTTGTTTTTGTCACATATGTGAGGACCAGAAAGCTCTGCTGAGTCTGTTTTTATAGGCTATTCAACAGTACTTAAAGCAAATTAGAAGGTGCGTTCACTTAAAAGAAATCTGTTTTTAAAACATGGCTTGAATGAGCTTTTCCAGTAAAAGACTGAAATCAGGCCTTGGAAACACAAACAAAAGCCACAACCATCAGTCATGGGATGTTTTCTGTTGGTAAAAGAAGAGCCCAGTTTTGACTCTTCACTATTACCCGTGAATTAAAAACATGTTTCAAAAAAAAAAAATAAAAACATGTTTCTTTGGTAAACAAAATAGTTTGAGTTGATAAGTTATATTCCTGGGAGTAAAAACCTTTGCTATTGCCCACTGTCTTATCAGATGATGATTTAAAACAAAGCTAAAAAAATATACAACATATCCCATACTCTGAGTATTGGATGGACACAGCTCCATGAAGCTCAGAGCTAGTGAGCATCTCTGGTAAGTCTCTCCCCATCATCTTCTTCTGTCCTTTCTGGGGTCTCCAGGTTTTAGGGAGAGGCCAGCTGCCATATATTTTTTTCCAAATGCTCTTTGTAAAAGGCAGAGACAGAAGATCATGGAATTGAGACTCAAAGTACTCAAGAGCCCAACAAAGGAGAAGGCCCTTAGAAGGGCCTTGATTGTCGTAAGGTCCTGTGGACATGATTTCTGACTGGAAAAGACTTAACCTAAGGAAAATTAGTTGTATATTTCTCTCTTTATACTGTGCTAAGCTGTCCAATTAATTCCAGTCAATTTGGCTGTTTAAAGGGTCATGTCAATAACAGAACTAGAAGACTGAGCTCTCAGAGTTATATATGTACATAGCTTTGGCCTTTTTGATACTATGATCTTTAAAAATATTTATAATTGGAGTTTAATATTAGAAATGTTAGGGGTGTGGCATGTGCCTTTAATTCCAGGACATAGGAGGTGGAGGCAGAGGCAGGTGGATCTCTGTGAGTTCTAGGCCAGCCAGGGATACATAGTGAGCCTTTGTCTCAAAACAACAACAAGAAATTATTAGGAAATAGTTCCTTTTGCGGGGAGAAAATCACTAAAGAGTCTTGAACTCTTTTATCCAGACCACTCACGTCCTTTTAAGGTACATTTTGGAGAATCTAAGTAGGAATTTTAATATGAAGTTCATGAGAAATGTATTAAATGGCTAATTTTTTAACATCTACAACACAGTGTAGTTAATGGGATCTCTAAGTCTGTCAGACTCTTCTAAACTTTATCATGGGCTAGGAGTCACAATCAAGCACAATTCAGGCCTGTGCTAACTCTTAAAAATCTGTTGTAGATTATTATTTTAAGATGTGTTACATTTGTTTATTCTGTGGAACATCTGTTTAATGAGATGCAAGGATGTGTTGCATTCTTTTATGTTGCATTTGTTTAACTCTGTGAAGCTGTGTTATTTTGCCTGTCTAAAACACCTGATTGGTCTAATAAAGAGCTGAATAGCCAAAAGCTATGCAGGAGAAAGGATAGGAGGGTCTGGAACGCAGAGAGAATAAATAGGAAAAAAGAGGGATCAGGAAGCAAGAGAGATCAAGGAGCAAGAAAAGAAGCCACCCAGCCAGCCATGGAGTAAGAGTGAAATAAGATTACAGAAGAAAGAAAAGGAAAAAGCCCAGAGGCAAAAGGTAGACGAGATAATATAAGAAAAGCTGGCTAGAAATAAGCCAAGGTAAGGCTGGGCATTCATAAGTAATAATAAGTATCCATGTGATTAATGTGGGAGCTGGGTGGCAGGCCCCCCAAAAGAGCAAAGAGTAAAAATAACAACAAAAGTCATTTAGAAAAATACATTTTTGTCATGATTTTTTTATGGGACAACTCTGTGTTAAAAAAATTTTAAAAATTACTTAATAACAATGTAAAAACAATTACCTAGCAACAACGTAATTGGCAAATATATTCTGAAATACAGCTTAAGCTCAACAAAATAGAAAAATCACAGCTAGTTAAACTTACACCAATAAGTCACAGTTTTCAACAGGAACATGTGTAAATACCCCAAGGTTCAAAGTACTACACTTAGAAAATGTTCTGAATTAAAAAAGACAAGTAAGTACCATGGTTTAATACTGATGAAGCCAAGTGCATCATTGCTCTCCAGGGTGGCACTTGCTTCAATTGCTTATTTACAGTTAGGGTTTTTAGGACCCACATAGAGCAAGGAAAAACAGGATTTCAGCAGTTGCTGACCCTAATTCCATTCAGCTAGCAGGCAATAAGGAAACAGCAATAAAATACAAACATTTTCAGGAAAGCACTGTTCTAGGCTTAAACACTGATCATTCAACTGATCATAAAAGATAGATACCATGGAGTATCTAAACTACAATCTGGAATGTGCCAGATTATTAAAGTGCGCCAAGTGACTGTTCTCGCATTAGAGCAGGACCTAACACTATACGGAGGGCATCCTTACACACCCTTACTATGACATGAACAGCAGGCAAGGTCAAGTGATTTTCTCACCACCTGCACTATTCTCTTCTGGTTGGGAAGAGATGCCTTCAGGAGTAATTTTAAACTGATTCTCAAATTAAGAAAATGAGTACCTGATATTTAAAACAATGAAAAACATTTTAGTGGTCTCATTTTATTCATCTGCCATCACTCATTCCAAATGTAAACATGGTGCACACAGGAGCACATATTCCCTGATATCTGTGTACTCTGACACCTGTGACAAGGCAAGACATCCACCAGCTTTCAAGAGAGTTGTGAGGTCTTCGTCTCTGTCTCTATTATCTGCAATGGCTAACACAACACAGGAAAAAAAGGTTTCGTTTTTTTCGTCTTTTTCTTTTTGGAGATGGAGGGTCCAGATGAACTCAATGAAAAGTTCTGAACTGACAATGGACTGGGATTTTCTAGTAAAACACAATGTTGGCAGTATAGAGCAGGCACTAATGGTAGTGAAAATGAGTCCACACAATAGGGTGCTACAAGCAGAGATGCTTTCTTACTCTGAAGTGCTCCCTTTATTACAAAGCTTCTTAGGAACCTTCCTTAGAAAGATTCTATCAAAAAGAAGTTGCAATGATATGGATTTGGATGCATGAATTTGAAGGAAGCCCTGGGTTTCAAATTCTCTAGTAATAACCTCATCAATATCAGAATTCTCAAACAGTTAATTTTAACCATTAAATATTAAATACAACGTGAAAGCAGGTATCATCAAAGCCAATGTCTGCTCTTACATACTATGAACACAGTTGGGTGAATTAAAAACTCCATGAAAAAGAGTATTTTCCAGTTCTCCATTAGCTGGTCGAACTATGATATTTTCCCAACAATTGGATTTTCCCTATAAAACAGTGAAAGAAAAACTTTTTAAAAGAAATATACAAATTAAAGACATGACATATACAGAACCCATCAAGCACTTCTAATTTTCCTTGCACTTTCACATACTGAGTCTTGCTTTATTAATGCAACAAGTATTACTGATCATTTACTACATTTCAGGCACTATTCTAGAAGCTAAGGGTACAGTACTTAACAAAACAGACACATAATTCATGGAACTCACCTGATGGCGTAGGAAAAGAAAATAGGCAAATATTTAGTACAAGAGGGTTTGGTTGTTCATTGTTGCCCTCCACCCCCCAGTGCTATATGCTAGTCAAGCACACTAGCACCAAGCTATTTCTTAGCCCAAGTCTCCCCTCCCCCAATTAAAGAAAGAAAAAAGATGTGTGAAGTACACTGTCAGGGGCAGTAGGGTGGGCAGTAAGCAAGAGTACCACCAGGAGCTGAGCTGGTGCTTTTTAATAGAGAACAATAAAGCTGGTCAGGGTATAGTATGCATAGAGGATGAGGTAACACACATATATGGATATATATGTGTGTTTTTCAAGACAGAGTTTCTCTGTGTAACAGTCTAGATATCCTGGGAACTCAATCTATAGACCGGGCTGGCCTTGAACTTGCAGAGATTCGCCTGCCTCTGCCTCCCGAATGCTGGGATTAAAGGCTCGGCCACCATGCTTGGCAGTGAGGTACTATTTAAGGATGGTCAAGCCTTGGCTAGGAACTTCCAAGGGCTCCAGGAAAATTAGATTAACCCTTGTTGGAAGAGATTCAATTACACTAATGAAGAAAATACAGAATTAGGATGTTTACAATACAACCTTTGTAATGTACTAAGATTTCTGTTCAGGAAGAATGTATTTATACCAATAAAACTGATTTTTCTTATTCAGAAATACAAAAACACTGTCATAATTTTCAAAGATTATTTAAAATAGTGCAACAAGGATTCCAAGTCCTCCCACTAACGGTGTGGGAGCTTGGGCAAGACACTCATCTTCTTTGTACTTTAACTTTTCTACGTATAAATTAGGAAGGAAACCATCCTAGGCTGACATGAGCTCAATGACAGAGGGACACTGACTGTGGAAAACACTATGATTTGCTGGTCTGTGAAGCCAACCTTCCTACCCATGGTGTTACTAGCAGAACCCTGGTGACAGTGGAGACCTGTTAGACAGGGAAGGCTGGCGGTTACTCTAGACAAGCTTCTTTCCTCTCAGTAGGGAAGGAATAGTCTTTTCTTTTTCTGCCTGTGGAGTTTTTTAGAAAAGAAAGTGGGGCTCTGAACTACTATGGCTCATCTGATACCCTACGAGAAAAGCTTCAAGATTTAGATTACCTTAGTGCTATACAGTTCCCAATGACAATGCCCAGCTCCTGCATCAACTGTCTGTACAGCTTGGTCTTCCCTGGTGAGACTAAGAACTTCCCTCAGGAGCCTGTTACTCGCTGCTGAGAGTAATCTAACTGACAGTGTGTCCAGTGCCGAGTGTGGCACCCTGAGAGGAAGCAGCTCCCAGTGCAGGCCGGCTGTTGCTGTCCATACCCATCTCACCTTCTCTATCTCAGATGCAGATGAAGCCCTGGGAATCAACTATCGAGTGCTTTCACGCACTGCCACAGCTTGCTTGCTTTGCCATTCATTATAAACATACTGTGTTGTGAGAAACGGAGAGACAATACAAACAAAAAGAAAAAAGCTACTAATCTTTCAAGGAGTGAATTACAACCAACCGTGACATTCAAAGCAGGGATAGTGTATAGCACCAGCATCCTGCAATGACAGCTGAACCGAACATGCAAAGGAGTGATGGGGAGTACCCACAGGAGAAGGCTGGGTCCTCATAGACCGGCAGCGGCAGCCTGCTGAGGGTACTCACTTGCTTCCGTATTTTGCACTACTTGATCTTTTCTTTCTGTATTTCTCGTGAGGCTCATCTAGCTTCTCTATGATGCTTTTTATTTGCTGAATTGTCTTAAAGGTCGTAACAGAATCCTCAATTGTGAAGTTACAATAATCAGGCTCTTTCTGTGGCCCCTGATAGACTGCTATAGTTCCACAAGCCTCTGTAAAGAACAATGAAATACGATCAGAAAACTAAATTCTACAAATGTAATCTGTCATATAATTAAAAAAATTTTTGAAGTTTTTAAGGGAGAGATTTTCTTTGACTATACAGTAACAGTTTTATTAAATAGAACCATCACATTTACATGACAATGGTAATTTTATTTCATGAATAGCCAAGATAAATGCCCCCTTTGATGGTTCATGAATTTCATTATCAGTAACTTAGTAAATCTATAAATATTTTCAATTAAAAAAAAGATCAAAGAAATAACTCAGAAATTAGTAATGAAGATCATGGTTTTATAAAAGTAGAGTGTGTGTTTACCTTCCATTTTCTGCAGCTTAAGTAAACTGAGGGTAAAAAGGGAATAAATTCTTTCTGTTTCTCTGTCTTCATCGATATCTATCTGGATGTCTGCAGGAATACCTCTATGATAAAAAGAAAATTAAAGACATTGGAAAAGTTTTCTTAGTTAACATGAGAAAGAGTTTTCATGAATTGAGACTAAACTAGATTTAGAATTTTGGGAAAAGGACCTCAGAAATTAGTTACTGAGATAATTAAACAGGATCACAAGATTTCGTTGTTACGGATTCAAGTCTTGAAGAGAATTTTGAAGTAGAATATTTTTTAAAGTATTTTTTTAATGTGTATGTGTGTATCTGTGCACGTGTGTGGGTATCTACAGAGGCTAGAAGAGGGCATCAGATTTCCTGGAGCTGGAGTTACATAGGTTCTGGAACTGCACTGGGGTCCTTCTACAAGAGAAGCAAGCATTCTTAACCACTCCCCAGTCCCAATAAAATCATTTTTATAATCTATGGTTTTTCACAGAAACAATGCATTAATAATAAAATCTACAGGGCAACAATGGCTACTCCATAATATCTAAAACAGAATGTTTAGTGAACTTGTTGGATACAGTTTTAGATTTTATTTTTATTATTTTTAATTGTATGTTTGGGTGTGTGCATGTGAGTACAGGTGCCTGAGGAAGCTGCAGGCATTGGATACCTTGGAGTTGGAGATGTAGGTTAAGTTGAGAGCTGCTTAATGTAGGTGATGGGAACCAAACTTGGGTCCTCTGAAGAATAGTAAGTGCTCTTCACTGCTGAGCCATCTCTCTAGCCCCTCTTTGCATCTTGCTCAGGCTTGAGATGCTTATTTCTCTTCTTTCAATGGTGTGTGTTGATGATGCAGTGGAACATTGCTCATAGTTGGCAAATGCTCTACCATCAACCTTTAATCTGGCCCTCCAGACCTGTGCTACAATCTAAACTCCCACCCCCAGACTGTACAACCATTATTAATTTCAGAGTATTTTCATCAGCCACAAAAGAAACTTTGTACTCATTATCAGTCTCCATTCTCCCATCCATCCAGTCCCCGGCCACCACTAATTTGCATTATGTGTCTATGAATTTACTATATATTTTATTTTTTGTGGTACTAGGATCCAACCAAAGTTCTTGTGTGTATCATGTAAACACTCTACCACTAGGCAACAACCCCAGCCCTTCTAGACACCCTTACAGAAATATTTTCAAACGACATGTGGCCTTTCTGTGTAGTTACTTTTACTGAGCTTGTTTTCACACCCATACCCACTGTATGGACAGACATTTTGAGTCAGCATTTCTTTCATCAGAAAGGAACTTACGCAGTACATGGCTTGCAGCCTGGGGTGGTTTCACTTGTCTCCTGGCAGCAGAGCCAGTTCCCATTGAGATATGCTGAGGGATGGAAAGAACTGAGCCTGTTGTGGTTGCATCTGCTCACCCTGCACAGCACATCTATCCACTCGTTAGCTTCCACACAGTTATTTGCTTGGACGTAGAGTGTTTTCTCTGTATGGATCACTTGGAACATCTTTATTGGTAATAAAGACAGGAAGTTAAAAAAGTCTTAAAATCAACAGACAGTACACAGAGTAAGTACTTAGAAAGAGACCTGGCTGCCTGGCTAAGTAATGGCTGCTAATGTATCTTTAGAGTTGTTATTCTCTAAGCAAGTCAGGGCCTGTGGTGGTTTGAGGGAAAATGGTCCCCAAAGGGAATGGCACTATTAAGAAGTGTGGTGCACGTCTTTAGTCCCAGCACTCGGGAGGCAGAGGCAGGTGGATCTCTGTGAGTTCGAGGCCAGCCTGGGCTACAGAGTGAAACCCTGTAGCTACACAGAGAAACCCTGTCTTGAAAAACAAAAAACAAACAAAGAGGTGGCCTTGTTGGAGGAAGTATTTCACTGTGGGGGTAGGCTTTGAGGTGTTCTATGCTCAAGCTACACCCAGTGAGAGAGACTACTTCCTGTAGCCTGCAAGATGTAGGACACTCAGCTACTTATCCAGCACATGTGCTTGCATGCTGCCATGTCCCACACCATGATGATAATGGACTCAATCTCTGAATGCAAGCCACCCGATTAAATGCTTTCCTTTATAAGAGTTGCCGTGGCCGGGCGGTGGAGGCACATGCCTTTAATCCCAGCACTCAGGAGGCAGAGGCAGGTGGATCTCTGTGAGTTCGAGGTCAGCCTGGTCTCCAAAGCAAGTTCCAGGAAAGGTGCAAAGCTACACAGCAAAACCCTGTCTCAAAAAACCAAAAACCAAAAACCAAACAAACAAAAAAAAGAGTTGCCGTGGTCATGGTGTGTTTTCACAGCAGTAGAGATCCTAACTCAGAGTCTTAGTTGATGGTATAAGGAGCAGAACAATATAAACTGTGGGTGTCACACATATCCAAAGGAAAGGCCACTGTCTGAGTAAGAACAAAGACAGGTAATTTTCGATGTAGGAGTAGTGTGAGGAAAGACAAAGCAGTGGGGAGACAGTGGGGTCAGGGATGCCATCCTGGTGACTGGAGGGTCCTGCCTGAGTGGCAATAGTAGACATAAGTTGGGACATTACTTAGAGATCTGAATGGCAAATATTAAAATAACTTACACACAACAATTTAAAATGCTTTCAATATTTATACAACTTACATTTTTCTTGTTGAAAGAACTTTCTTCCAGTTTTTCCACAGCAAGAATGTTTTTCACTGGAATAGTGTAAATTGCATCTTTGCCTAAATAAGAAAAGATGACAAAATTAAAAGAATTACTGTAATAATTACAAAGGTAAGATGTGAATTCTGTAAGGTTAATTCCACTTGCTGGTAGAAGCATATGCATCTACAGTAGACTTCTGGATGGTTTGTATATAATACAGAACAGGAGTTTTGACTGCATTCTATAAAATGCCCTCTTTTTCCATATAGATGAAAATATTTTCAAAGAAAAGCATGTGAATAAATTTGATCTTTATGTAGAAAATTATTTTCTACGCTATTTCAAATTGGTAACACTAATTATATGGAGGCTGAAAGAACTAATGTGCCTAGTGATAAAGACCCACCTAGAGGCCCAAGCATGGGAACTGACCTAAGCAGTGAATACAACTATTAGATTCTTTTGTTTTGTCATCTTAACATTTCATTACAGGATTATCCCTCAAAACAAAAACATTTAGTATGTGTGCACGTGTAGGGAACCAAGTCCAAGACATGATGCAGAATAGGCAGGTGCACTAGCACTGACCTACATCTCTACCCCTAAAACATGCTTAATTTTATTATTTTATGTGTATGAGTGTTTTCCCTGCATGTATATAAGTGTACCACATATGTGCCCAGTGCCCTCAAAGGTCAGAAGAAGGCTTTGGATCCCCTGGGACTGGAGTTACAGATGGTTGCAAGCCACCATGTCAGTGCTGGGAATTAAACTCAGGTCCTCTATAAAAACAAGTGCTCTTAACCACTGTGGTAGTTTGAATGTAACTGCCCCTATAAGCTCACAGGGAATGACACTAGTAGGATGTGTGACCTTGTTGGAGGAAGTGTGTCACTGTGGAGGTGGGCTTTGAGGTCTCATATATATGCTCAAGCCATGCTCAGTGACTCAGTTTACTTCCTGTTGACTGTGGGATCAAGATGTAGCTCTTTCTCCACTCTCAGCTCCTTCTCCAGTACGATGTCTGACTGCAGGCCGTCATACTCCCAGCAGCTACGATAATGAACTAAACCTCTGAAACCATAAGTTACCCAACTAAATGTTTTCCTTTATAAGAGTTGTCTTGGTCATGGTGTCTCTTCACAGCAATAGAAACCCCAACTAAGACCTGAATTTTTGAATTATGTTTAATTTACTTATTTTGTTTTTTGAGACAAAGTCTCTCTATGTAGCCCTGGCTGTTCTGGAACTCAATATGTAGACCAGGCTGGCCTGAGGTTTCTATCTAAGGCCTCATACTCATAGGGATCCACCTGCCTCTGATCCCCAAGTGTTGGGATTAAAGGTATGTATCACCATGCCCAGCCTTGTTTAAATTTTTTAAAATTACATTTTATTTTAGGGTTTGTGTATGTGTAGGTGCACGTACATCAACTATAGGACATGTGTGGAAGTCACAGGACAAATGGCAGAAGTTAGTTCTCTCTTACCATGTGGTTCCCAGACACTGAACTCAGCTTGTCAATCTTGGTAGCACACACCTCTACCCACTGACCCATCTTGCCAGCCCTAAAACATGTTTTTAATTAAACATATTGTTCAGCTGACTAGCTAGTACTATAAAGTTTACTTTAGGAGATGCTGGAGATAAACATGAACATTTTATCCAGAAGAGTGAATTCTTAACTGTTTAAGGGTTTTGAAATGTAGGCAAAGGAATTTGAGTTTGTTAAAGGGCCTCCTGCTAACATGGCCTAAGGTGATACGTGTCATTATAGGTTACCCGTACTCATCCAGCTGTAGAGGCTATTGACAAATACACTACTGACTTCTGGTCATTTTGTAATGGTACTTTTACAGCATCAGAGTTTTGTTTTTATTTCTTCAAGCTTTTCTTTAAGGATGTGTGGGTTGAAATACAGAAAACTAAAAACATTCTATTTTATACTGTTCAAAGGATTAATGCTGTGGCTTTAATTTGGTTAATTGTGTTTTTGTTGTTGCTGTGAATAAAGACGTTGATACAAAATAGTTGTTCAGTCAAGTCTCCTGGCACAAAACCTAAAATTTAAGGTAATTTAAATAGATGTGACACATATTTTTAAAAGATATATACTGAATGTCTACTATATGCCAGGTACTGCCCTAATAATTTAAGGCAGAGCAATAAATAGAAAACAGGTCCTTAGTAGACTCTGTGTTGAGTTCTGAAAAGACTGGTAGAGAAATATTAACTAAAGGTGAATGCTATGATAAAAACAAGTTGAAGTGATGTAATCAAATGTAACTGGAAAGTTACTTGAAATTGGGCAGTTAAGGAGAACTTCCCTGTGGAAATAACATTTACATTAAAAAATACCAATCATACATGGGGACAAAAGAAAAGATTATCAGCAGTCTTCTGGAAGCAAATAAAAGTTGTGAGGATACAAGGTAGGGCAGGAAGAGAGTAAGTGATGAAAGTCACAGGTAGGAGTAGTTAGGGAGAGCTTCAAGTCAGTGCCAGTGGACACAGGGCTGAATCGGAGACATATCAGGATGATCAACAGATGAGTGACATCCGGAAGAGCTGGGCCAAACACTCACAGGCTAGTGAAGAAAGGCTGCAGAACAGTGCAATGCCATAACCTGCCCCTCTCTCATGATCACTGTGGGTATGTTACTGAACACTCAGGTAGGTGAATGGACTGTAAAACACAAAGATGAGCAAACTGCCAGGGCAATTACCAAGTAGATAAGGGAAATCTGCTGTGGGATGGTCTGTATGTCAAATGTGTTACTGATTGGTCAATGAATAAATCACTGATTGGCAGTGGCCAGGCAGGAAGTATACAGAGAGGAAAATTGAGAGGACAGGAAGCTGGGAGGGGAGACACTGCCAGCCGCCATCAGGACAAGGAAGATGTAAAGTACCGGTAAGCCACAAGCCACGTGGCAAGGTATAGATTAATAGAAATGGATTAATTTAAGCTGTAAGAACAGTTAGCAAGAAGCCTGCCACGGCCATACAGTTTGTAACCAATACAAGTCTCTGTGTTTACTTGATCGGGTTTGAGCGGCTTGGGACTGGCGGGTGAGAGAGATTTGCCCTGATTGTGGGCCAGGCAAAAAAACTTTAACAACAGAAATCAGCATTCTAAAGGAGAAACATGCATACAGGATAACATCTGAGGAATCAGAAGTGCTATGAATTGAGGGGCAGAGGAGACATATGTCTTTGGGTACCAGTCTACAAAGGACATTAGAAGGTCTAGCCAGAGAATTTAAAAATATTCATCCTTTAGATTTGTTAAATATATAAAACATGTCCATACTCTTAACATTGTTGTGTTTATTCATTTGGGACAAATTCTAATACTGCAAGTGTAGAGAAAGCATACTACTCGTAAGAACATCTTCATTCTTCTTATATATCTCCATTTCCATTTGGTGTTATTTCTCTTCACCTTGGAAGACTCTCCTTTAGAATCTCCTACCATGAGGACTGTTCACAATCAATCCCCATCTTTTATTTATTGAAAGGATATTTTCATATTTGATGAAAAATTTTTACTAGGCTATTTCTAAGTTAATTTTTTTCAGTACTTTAAAGATAACATTCTACTGTCTTTGGTTCTGATTGCTTTCTAGGAAAAGCTAATAGTCAAATGTACTGTTGCTCTTCTGTATGCATAGTAATGTATTCTTTGTTCCTGTTTACAAAGTTTTATCTTTGTCTATCATATTCCTATTTCTAAGCACTCAGCCTATCTAGGACACACCCCACTGCATTTTTCTCTCTTGACTATGTTTGCTGTTTCAAGCTGTCAACATTTCACTGTATACTGAAAACAGATTTAATTACCATCCCTAAAACATTTGTATTGGTAACTGATCTCCTTGAGCTATAATTTGTTCATGTTATACACTGTTCTTTTACAAATTTTCAGTTAGTGCTCCCCATTAGCCTCTCTGAATTTTTCTTCTTACCTAAGTATCTACTCAGTTAAGGATTTCAGGGCAGTTCACACACAATCTGAAGGATCCCTTCTCTTGTTTCCTCAATTTCCAGGCTTTCTGGAAACCTTCAAACTTGATCCTTTGACACCTGAAGCCAAACAATATGTTTTTGCATGAATTTAGCTATCTTTTTGTAGTGCTTTTGTAGGTGGTCATGACAATAGAAATCTTAGCCAGAATGATTCTTTTCTTACAAGGGTCAAATTCTTCAGTTAGCTGTCTAACATTATGAGAGTGTTAGTTTGTATCAAATTCTCCATTACTACCAGAACTCTATGTGTGTGTATTTAAAAGACAAGCTCTCATACAACCCAGGTTGGCTTTGAACTCATCACATAGCCAAGTAATTACCTGAATTTCTGATTCTCTTGCCTCTATTTCCCGAGTGCTGGGATTACAGATGTGGGCTGCCACTCCGAGTTTAGGTCGTGCTGCTGCTGAAAGCAGGGCTTTGTGCATGTCAGCTTGAGCAATCTATCAACTCAACTACATCCTCAGTTCTCATGTGTCTATTTATAAAAAGGTAATACCATCCTTTTAGTTGCTTTTGCCCAAATCCTCAAAATGTTTCTTTACTTTTTTTCCCCCTCACTCCTCATATGTAACTCCCAGATTCTCTGAGTACTACCTTTAAAGTAGATTCAGAATGTCATTGTTCTTACTATCCCTACTGCTATCAACTGGTCCAAGCCAGTATCTTCTGTGCCTTGGATTATTGTAATTAAAAAAAAATTTGTCTTATTGTCTATCAGTACTAACTGTAAGTTGAATAAGAACTGGGTTTTAGTACGTCTTCTTCACTACTGTTCTGTCCTGCACCTCTGGCATATAGTAGGTACCCAGTAAAATATGTTTAGCTGAATATATTTGCATAACTGAGTTAATGATTTATTTGGTTCTTCAGCTATTAAGAAACACACACACACACACACACACACACACACACCCTGGAGAGCCTCATGTTGGAAAACATGAGCAGGTAAAAGTCCAGTCAACCTAAATGTACTGAGAGTGTATGCTTAGGGAAGCTGTATAAACTGTATGTACCTACAGATACTAGGTCTCAAGAACATACAATATCTAAGCAAATCCCACAGAAGTATTTCAAAGATGGGTTTACTACAAATTTCACTAGTAAACTTGGTTAAAACTTCAGAATCCGTAGTGGTTACTGAAGTAACTCAGGCAACAGCATATTTGAAGACCTGGTGTTCTTTGAAGAATATTTACTAACTGCTTTTATGTTAGTAACATACTTGTTACCACTAAAAATCTTAGAGAGCAGGGGAAGAGAGATGAAATGTAATGGCCCGTGTGCTAGATGTTCCTATTAAATAGGCAGCTAAGTGGCTAGAGACCTAAAATGACATCAATGAAGAGTTGACACTTGATCTGAGGCTTATAGGACATCAGATCATAGACCTGAAGAAGGAAAGATTTCTAGGTAGAGTATATACAGAACCATGGACATAAAAATTGTACATTAAAGAAACCATAAGAGCTAGTCTGGTGAAGTCCCATAATGAATGCAACATGAGGCTGTATGAGACATGAAGAAGCTGGAATATCAGCAGCTCACTTGACTCCATCACATAACAAAAGGCAATGATGAGATTATAGTAATTTAAACTGTACAAAGCAAACACAAGAACACAAAAAGCACAGCAGTCTAAGATGTTTAGCTGGAAAAAATAGCAACACCCACTCTCAGGGACTCTGAAAATACAGTAACTAGGGCACTATATATAAAACTAACATTACCAATGATCATCCCAAGTCAACCAGAAAATGTTAACTTATGTTCAATGAATTCTTTTTTAGAAGGCAGGAAAGCATGTAATACATTTTGGAAAAATCCATCAAAATAGTTAAAACAACAATCATGAATGCTTAGAACTGCATGCTTTGGTAAACAATCTCACAATCTCATTTGTGTATTTCCTCGAACACAAAAACAACAAAGCTCCAATATATCCATTCTCATGGTTCCAATAGTCTAATTCTATGAAGTCTATCCCTTTACCATCAGTGGATAGAACAAAGACCAAATTTGACAACTGTAGGTGTACGTTGGGCTTACGAGGTCCATGAAATTCATATGCAAATTCCATGTCTATGTGTATATACGTGGGATTCTCAGAAGAAAGGCACCATGATATCTGACTTAAAGGATGTTATAACCAGCAGACTTTGAAATACTGGCTTGGACTAGACAGTGCTTTAACTGAGGAAGAACTAACTTGTTTATTCAACTCATATTTTATTTAATGGCACTATTATTATTACTCCTGGTTTTTGTTTGTTTGTTTGTTTGAGACAGAATCTCTCCATATGTAACCCTGGCTGTCCTAGAACTCACTATGCATAGACCAGGCTAGCTTCGAATTCTGCCTCTGCTAGGATTAAAGGAGCACTACCATGCCTGGCTTACTAGTAGTATTAATATAAACATAATGAACAACAATGCTATCCCATAGGTGAGAATATTTATTTATTTGGTTTTTCGAGACAGGGTTTCTCCATGTAATAGTCCTGGCTGTCTTGGAACTCAGTTTGTAGACTAGGCTGGCCTCAAACTCACAGAGATCCTCCTGCCTCTGTCTCTCGAGTGCTGGGATTAAAGCCCTATGCCACCACGCCTGGCAGGTGAGAATATTTATATAAAATTCAGTATAAGGCAGAATTCTGAAATATTTGAAGTCAGCTTTAAAAACATTTTGGAAAGGTCAGCTTACTGATCTTTGGCTACATATTTATATACTATAACAAACTATCTGGGTGCCTAAAATGCAATACATTCTAAAAAATTTCTTACTAATATACTTGGATATATAATATATATGTATATATATACATATTCATTCATTCTGGTTAAGTTGCTCATATATGTGTGTGTATACAAAAATAATTCTCTTAGCTGATACAGCAGTACATACCAGTAGTGCCCACCATTTGGGAGGCTGATGCAACAAGATTGCTTAAGCCCAGAGTTCTGGGTCAAGACCCCACCTCTTTAAAAATCTCTCTCCCCAATCATTCTACTACTCAGTAATCTCCAGTGAAGCACTCTATATTCTTTTAAAGTATCCTATGTCAGGTGTTTATGTCATCAATGTGGACTTTATAGGAGAAGCTCTCTTAGTAAGTATTTACTGATCAGATTTGATGGGACTTCAAAACCCCCTGAACACCTTGACACGCTGAATGTTTGTGGTTGTTAGCTACTCCGTTAAGCCTGTACCTTTCTGCTTTTATTGCTATGCTGTTTTACTTACCAAGTCCAGTTCTTTTATGTTATAGTTTTAGCATATCCCACACAACGTGATAAAACAAGCACTCCAGTTTAATTTTTGTGTCACTGTGAGAAACTCTGCACCATTCACTGTGCAATGATTTACTGCAGCACCAAGAACTAGCAGAGTAAAGCCACAATAAAGCACAAACACAACTCTACCTGGCTGTTTGTGGTAGGTGAGCTCTCTGCTTGTCAAGCAGAACCACCGTTTCTTGAAATTCTTTTTTCCAATACGGGTTCTTCCTTGAGCTCTTTTATACATCTCACTGCCAACATAACGGACATAAAATAAACATTTAGTCTTAGAGATTAAAACTGCTCACCTGAAACAAAGGACTGATCCTTACTATTAGAGGACATTGGTAGTCATGTATGATTATTAGTGTACAACAGTGACTTCTGCTGATGACTCATGTATTTTACTTAGGTCACACTGAGGGAATAGTCTTTAATTAATGTAGGGTTGTTTTAGTTTTACTTTTAGGTATGGTGTTTAGCCCGCATGATGTCTATGCACATGTGTGCAGTACCTGGGGAAGTCAGAAGAAGGCATCAGATCCCCTGGAATTGGAGTTACAGACAGTTGTGAAGTATTGTGTGGGTGCTGGGAATTGAACCCAGGTCCTCTACAAAAGCAGCCAGTGCTCTTAATCACTGAGTCATCTCTCTAGGCCCTAAGTAATGTAGTTTTAAAACTGTGCTATACAGAATAAAAAGGGTCCAAGTAAGTCATTTTCATCCCATTAATGTCTAGTAATAACCAACTGACCAGAGCTATCTCTTAAGTGCAGAACCCTGGGACTGTGCAGTCAGTGAGTGCTGCCCTATGACATGGAGCTGACAGGTAGAGACAGTGATTTACCTGAGTGAAGAAGCTTAGGAAGTTCTGGAACAGAATGAAAACTCAGGTTTCTTCACTCTCAGACCCATGTTTTGTACTTACTGTCTACAATGAAATATAACTTTCATGTCTCATTTAATGAATTACCCTTCTTTCAGATGCACAGGCTCACTCGTACCACTGGACTCTTTAGTTCCCGTAGACGAAATTTCATCTAAGAACTAAATGGGGAGATGGGAAAGTATTATAGTATGTGAATAAATACAGTATATCATAAAAATTGTCTCATCTTACACGTCATTGATTATATTAGGAAATTCTTCATTATTAAAGAGTATATATAATGCAGGTTGAGAATCTCTTTTATACAAAATGCTAAGGACCAAAGTGCTTTAGATTTAGGGTTCCAAAATATTTGCATATATGGTAAGATATCTTAGAGACTAGACTCATGTCTAAACAAAATTCATATACATAACCTAAAGGTAGTTTTTTTTTTTTGTTTTTGTTTTTTGAGCTTACTCTTTGGAGCTCACTCTGTAGCCCAGGCTGGCCTAGAAATCACAGAGATCCACCTGCCTCTGCCTCTCGAGTGCTGGGATTAAAGGCATGTGCCACCACTGCCCACCTAAAGGTAATTTTATACAATATTTTTACTAAACCTGCACTTTGCGACCTATCACATGAGGTCGTGTGTGGTGGTATTGTGTTCCCCAAAATACTGTGTACCTTAATAGACTTATCTGGGGTCAGAGAACAGACAGCCACTAGATACAGAGGCTAGAAAATGGTGGCACTCATGCCTTTAATCCTAGCATTCCAGAGACAGAAATCCCTCTGGATCTCTGTGAGTTCAAGGCCGCATTGGAAACAGCCAGGCATGGTGACTCATGCCTTTAATCCCAGAAAGGAGCCTTTAATCCCAGGGAGTGGTGGTAGAAAGCAGAAAGGTTTATAAGGTGTGAGGACCAGAAACTAGAAGCATTTGCCTGGTTAAGCATTTGGCTGGTTAAGCATTCAGGCTTCCAGCAGCAGTTCAGCTGAGAGCCATTGGGATGAGGACACAGAAGTTTCCAGTCTGAGGAAACAGGACCAGCTGAGGAATTGGCTAGGTGAGATAGCTGTGGCTTGTTCTGTCTCTCTGATCATCCAGTGTTCACCCCAATAACTGGCTTCAGGTTTGATTTTATTAATAAGACTCTTTAACTTTCATGCTACATCTGGCGCCCAACGTGGGGCACGAACCCACAACCCTGAGATTCTAGCTACAGTCGTGTGGAATTTTCCATTGTGACATCATGTCCTTTCAAGAAGTTTTAGATATTCCAGTATTTCAAATTTTAGAGCATCTTGGATTAAAGAGGCTCATTCTACAGTTATCTATAAAATAATATAAAAAGTTCCTAACTTACAAATGAAAGGTATTTTTAAAAGTTTCTTAACTTACAATTCTGAATGATTTCCCTATAGAAATAACTCTGGATCACTTCCTGTTTCTAGCCATGGACATTACAAATTTTCTTGAGCTACATTCTTATATTCTGCATAGGAAGTTTGTAAATACTCATTTATTTCAGGTTGTCTCATTTGTCAAGGTCATCAGTTATATAGAACAGAAATCAGCAAGTTTCCTATGAACAGCCAGCAAATGGTAGGCTTTGTTGGTTACACAAGACCTCTACCATGTTTTATTTCATAACTCAGTTTCTTATAAAAACAGACTGCAGGTCAAATTTGGCTCATTCCATAGTTTGGTGTTACCTGACCTATCAGGATCATAGCCCTGCATGTAAAAATCTCTGGAACCATCAATCTTCAGAATTCAGTTTTTCAGAACTTCAAATAGTAATAGGAGCAGACTATATGAACTAGCTCTTTTGGTAATATGCAACAATCACACACATTAGTGTTTGTTTGTCACAATGCAAAATACTCTGTGTATTTGTCCTGACCATGGGCCAGGCAGGACCAGGAAAACTCTAACAACAAATCTAGAGACAGAAAGACACACAGACATGGGGACAAACACATGTGCGGGGACACACACACACACACACACACACACACACACACACACACACACACACTTTAAGATCTTAGGGCAAATTATCTTATGCTACCTCAGGTCTACAGATATAAATAAGATAGTAAATGTACTACGGTGAGAATCTATCTGAATGTGAGTAGGTGACTCAGAGGCAGATTAGAAACAAACTAAAGGTCGGGCAGTGGTGGCGCACGCCTTTAATCCGAGCACCCGGGAGGCAGAGGCAGGTGGATCTCTGTGATTTCGAGGCCAGCCTGGGCTACAGAGTGAGTTCCAGGAAAGGCGCAAAGCTACACAGAGAATTCCTGTCTCGAAAAACAAAACAAAAACCACCCCCCCCCACTAAAGTCCTTGCACTCTTTTTTTTTTTTTTTCCCCCGAGACAGGGTTTCTCTGTGTAGCTTTGCGCCTTTCCTGGATCTCGCTCTGTAGACCAGGCTGGCCTCGAACTCACAGAGATCCGCCTGCCTCTGCCTCCCGAGTGCTGGGATTAAAGGCGTGCGCCACCACCGCCCGGCATGTCCTTGCACTCTTAAATGCACTTCCCCCTGGTATTATCAACTGATAACTGGTATTATCAATTAGCACATTCTGATTATATAAGGGGTGGAGAGCAGATATCACCATAGCCTAGGTTAGCAGATGTAGAAAAATAACTCTAACACAAAAGCTAGCATATCATCATCTTGTTAACTTAAGTCTAACTCTACTGTCCCCCAAATGCTTCAACAATGTCCCCTAAATAAAAATGTTATTTTTAAAATTTCTCAAGAGCCTTCAATGATCGCTTAAAAAAGTTTTAGGTGAATTTACATTATTCTAGAGAAAAAAAGAAAAGTCTAGGCTCAGCACAGTGGTGCACAGCTTTAATCTCAGCACTTATGAGGTAGAGGCAGATAGATATCTGAGAGTTTGAGGCCAGCCTGGTCTATACAGTAAGTTCCAGGACAGTCAGAGCTATATAGTGAGACTCTGTCTTGAAAAAAAACAAAACAAAACAAAAACCTATCTGGTACCAGAATTTTTCCTTATGGAGTCCCTGTGAAAGTATTTTAAAAGTCCAAACATATACTTAAGTAAAATATGTTCTTGGCCATCAACTGCAAATAATACTATAACAACTGAACAGGCTTTAAAAACTGTACTTGCTAATTTGGTTCACTGAATTAGGATTGTGAGAATGAAGACACTGTACTTTCTTAAAGTTTAGTTTAGATCTATTAAATAATGTTTCTTTCTAAGTTTTCCAGATTTATAATACTGTATTTTATATGGATGATTAAGGAGTCAAGGACCAAGAAATTAAAGGCTTAAAAATTATTCTCAGTTTCTAATCATATACCTTTTTACATGTTGAAGGTCTTATGTTACCATGCTATATACTTCAGGCATTTGTAAATTTTCATTTTTAGTTGCTTTCCTCCAATGCTAACATAAACATTCACTAAATCATTGAAAACACTACTTTACATTTTCATTATTTTGTGTGGATGTATGTGGGAATGTGTGTGTGTCACAACATGCATATGGAAGTGAGAGGACAAACTTTGGGAATTGGGTCCCTCCTTCCAACCATGTGGTTCCCAGAGATCGACCTCAGGTCATCAGGCTCCACAACAGGCGCCTTTGCCTGCTGAGTCATCTTGCTGGCCCATTTTGTCTCGTTATGGCAACTGAGCACCCACTCCACTCCACAACAAGTACTGTTAGGCTTTACTCCTAGACCAAAGGTTTCAACAGAGGTAATTCTGTCCTCTGGACGACATCTAGCAATAGCTAAAAGCATTTCTGGTCTTCAAAACTGGGGATATGATACTGGTATTTAATTCAGGGATGTTGCTAAATATCCTACAATGTAAAGGCTAGCTCTTAGAATCAAGAACTACCCAGCCCCAAATGTTAATAGTACTGCAGTTGAGAAACTTACCCCTAGAAATCTGTATTTGTATAGTTACAACAACAATGGCAAGAGCAGTCATTGTTAATTAAGACTTGCTTATCTCACAGCTTTAGACTCTTTTTTTTTGGTTTTTCAAGACAGGGTTTACTCTGTGTAGCTTTACGCCTTTCCTAAATCTCGCTCTGTAGGCCTCAAACTCACAAAGATCCGCCTGGCTCTGCCTCCCAAGTGCTGGGATTAAAGGCGTGCGCCACCACCGCCCAGCTAGACTTCTTGATTGACAGTTTAAATATATATATATATATATATATATATATATATATATATATATATATATATATATATATATATATTAAATTGGAGACTGGAAGAATGAGATGCTAATTTCTTTATGCTAGATGACAAGAAAGTTTCCTATTTTCAAAATAAAACAACCATACCTTTTTCACGTCTGTAAAATATCTCTCCTCTTGAAACATTTTGAGAAATTCACACATGACTGATTTTTTGGAGCGAGACTATGAAAAAACAAACATAGGATTTGTATATGTTAAATATGCACAGCTTCTTAACTGTTAGTTGTGACTCCACCAGGGGTCACGGAATGTGTCAACAGAGTTTCTGAAAGCACAGCAGTAAGAACTAATTCAAAATCTAACGTACCATGACTCTGGGCTGGTTTCGGCAGTGTCCCCTATGCTGCACAGTACCACGTCACTACAGCCTTACTTCTGCTCATGCCGTGGTCATGCTTTGCACCATGCACTTTAACACATCACACATCACTAATCACTGCTCTCTGGAGACCTCGGCACACAGCTCTGGGCTACTGTAGATCAGGAACTGAGCTATTTTTACTAGATAGGAAGGCTTTTGCTCTAACAGAAATATAACAGTTTAATTACAGAAAACAAAGACTTAAAATCTTTTCCCACTTCATCAGTCAGCCTGTATTAAATTAGTAGTTTTGGATTTTATTATATTAGAATGTTTAACTGCTTAAGTTGCTGACTTAAGTCTCACTAAACAAACAAACTACAAATAAATCCCAAAACCAAACAAAACTCCAAAAAACATTAAGTAAATTCTGGCTTGAGATAAGGGCAGAATTTCCAACAATTTTAAAATGGTCTTAAATATACTTCTGCCAGTGTGTTTATGTAACACGTTCTTTTTTTTTTTTTTTTTTTAAATGTATGAAAGTTCTATCTGCATGTATGTATGACTTTATGCCAGAAGAGGGCATCAGATCCTAATATATGGTTGTGAGCCACCATGTGGTTGCTGGTAATTGAACTCAGGACCTCTGGAAGAGCAGCCAGTGCTCTTAACCGCTGAACCATCTTTCTAGCTTCCTATAATATACTTCTCTACTATATGTTTATGCAAACTGAACGATCATAAAATCAAAACATGGTCAACTTTGAAAAACTATATCCTACAATATCACATACTCAACTAATATTTATTTACAGGAAAATAAACAAGTATATTCATCTCATTAGTATGTAAATATGTTTTTTGTCTTTAATAAATGGTAAGATTATATATATGAAGAACTGGTCAAAAATATTTTTGACCAATATACAACATAAATATATATCAAAACACATTGTATATATAAATTTGCATAATTATTATATGACAAAAAATGAAAATTTGATACAGATTTTGAAAATGTACTTACAAATGAGTGAACAGGGTTTAATTAGCATACAAAGTAAAAAGCCATCATTATTCAAAGGTCTGAAAGGACAAGTAAGAAATGGAAATCCACCTGACAAGAGCTACCTTTAGTGACCGAACAGCCCACACATAGTCAGGTGGCATGACAGCCATCTCCTCTGGGCCAGGGTGGGAGTGGGGTGGAGGTAAGGCCTGGTGTAGGCTCCGATGCTGTAAATTGGATTCAACTCTATATGTGTATGTAACTCAGATTCAACTCCCATTTAAAAAAAGAGAATTTTCTATTAGGAAAACATGTTTTTAAATAGCAACCATGTTGCTCTCCTCCATCTTGGCTAATGACCTCATCAAGATGTAAGCAGCCACATGGCTGGCAACCATCTTTACTAAGGTTAAAGAGTACATGCCAAAACAAAAAAATAAAACAAAACAAAACAAAAGCCGGGCGGTGGTGGCACACGCCTTTAATCGCAGCACTTGGGAGGCAGAGGCAGGCAGATCTCTGTGAGTTCGAGGCCAGTCTGGTCTACAGAGCAAGAACCAGGAAAGGCGCAAAGCTACACAGAGAAAACCTGTCTCGAAAAACCGAAAAAAAAAAAAAAAAAGAGTACATGCCATATGACTTAACCACCTAATCTTAAGAAGACCATGTGGAGCCAGGTGGTGGAGGTGGCGAATGCCTTTAATCCCAGCACTCAGTGTTGGGATTCCTGGCCACTCCCCCAGCTGCACGACTGCACATGCACAGTTCAGTAGCCAAGTGAGGCGCCTTACGTCCTATGAAATCCGTGCACTGCGTGCTCAGCGTGATCACATAATCTGCACATGCATGGCGTAGCTCCGTAAACCCGTATATGCATGTGCAGGGGAATCCCTAAGAAGTGGGACACAGACACCTCCTCTCCCTCTTCTTCTCCTTCTCCTTCCCACACTCTCTCTCTGCATGTGTCTTCCACAGGCCTGGTCACGCTCTCTTCTGTTCCTCACTTCTAATAAAACTCTGCTCTGATAATGGGTTTTGTTGTGCGTTGTGACCTTTCCTCGCAGAGTAAAAGCGCCGCATTAAAACCAACACTCTGGAGGCAGAGTCAGGCAGATCTCTGTGAGTTCGAGGCCAGCCTGGTCTACAGTGCAAGATCCAGCACAGGCACCAAAACTACACAGAGAAACTCTATCTCAAAAAACCAAAAAAAAAAAAAAAAAAAAGACCATGTGTCACAGAGTCAACAACTGTAAAACTTCCCAGTTTTTCTGAGCTTGAGAGGTCCAAATTTCTCCCATTTTACAACCAGATCTAGGTTTCAGGGTTTTTTTTAGAGCAAACATGTTTCAGTTTCTTAAACAGAGGGCTATTAATCAAAGAACCCTGACAACAGGAATAAGAGAGAACATGCACAAGGCTTGTTCAGCCCTGCAGTATTACAAGACAGTGGCCAAAAAAAAAAAAAAAAACAACAGTTTCTGTAATCCCTGAAATGAGCCCAGACTTGCCCAAATATGTCCAAAGATAAAACAACTAGAAACTCAGCCTATCAAAAAATGTACTAATATAACTGCTGCCTGCTTAACCAATTATGTTTGAGATGACCTAACTGTTTCTAAAATTCCCCTAACTGTGCTTAAAGGGAGCCTGCATGCTCCTCTCAGGGTCGTCGCCATTTTGTACAGGTGAACGACCCTGTATATGCTGGTAAATAAATGCCCTTTGCTCTTTCATACTATCTGAGTCTGAGATCTTCCTTCAGTGTTTTCTTGGACTCCTACACGGTTTATTATTATATCTTCTTTTTAGACTAAGGAAGCAACAACAAGTCTCCAAAATGTTTTGGGATTGGTATGGATTTTTATATGATGGTAAAAAATTTAAGGTTAGATTTGCTACAACATACTATATACGTGATTCAATTCTGGTTTAGAATACACTGATACTGCAATAAAATTTTAAAGTTATAAAGGTCTACTCAGATTAGCAAAAGCTGATTTAAGATGTATTCTAATTACTTGTGTCTTTGCTAACTGTTCAACACTAAGCTTCTAGAAAATTTGGATAAATAACGTATGTTTGATAAATAAGGTAAATTTGATTAATAACATTTATAAATTCTTACAATAATAGGTTTTCTATACCTGGATAATAGGTTTCTCTGCTGACACAGTAAGCCAGATCAAGCCAAACTGATAAAGTAAAAGAACAGTTTTATCTGAGCAAAGCAACTCCCTGCTGAGTCCTCCAGCTCCACAGGTTGAGGCCAGAGAAGTTACCTGAACTAAAGCAGGGAGGTTATATAGCCTGTAGGAGAGGGGTGATGACGTGTCTGCCACAAGTTGGATTTGTGCCCAAGTATGGTCAAAAACTGAATGCTTTAGGCAGGGACTTGAGCTGCTAACAACTTCAAGGGAGGAGCTGGAACAGCCACTAAGAATGTGGAACTGGGCATTTTGGTGCCTTTTCTGTGTTGGTGATTCTCTGAGAGGGTGGGGTGGGGCTTTGAGAGGAGAGAGAGAGAGAGAAAGAGGGGGGGATGGGAGGGAGGGAGAGGGGGGAAGGAGGGAGGGAGGGAAGAGAAAGAGAGATGGGGCTTCTCAGACCATGCAGGAGCAAGCTGAAAGTTCCAACTGAACAGTGTACTCAGGGTCACAGTAGTATTTGTCTAGCTTCTTTGTCTTTGCTCACTTTGTTAAATTTTAGCTATTTGGATAAACTGAGTCATACAAGCAACTGTACTACTCTATAATGGTGCACTATAAAAGCAAAGTTTACTGCATTTATGGTTTATTTTGATGATAAAGGATCTTCAATTAAAATTTCAACTCAAATTTTAAGGCTCAAACTTAACAGGGATAAGGCTGTAAAAATCCTAATCTTATAAAAGCTACTGACTTATTTATTGTAAACTGTTAACAGATAATTAAGACATTCAAGTTAATATTCAGTCACCTTATAAATGACCAAATTCTTTGTGTCATAACTACACTTACAGTCATGCTAAGTACTAATGTAATTAACTACAGGAATAAACTTTATTAAGTCTCCTGTTTATGTTTTCAAAGTTAAACCTAAAACAAGTTAACTAAAAACAAGCAACGTTTGTTTAGTCTAGATACACTTAATAGACAATGGCCCTCAAAACTTTTCAGAGATCTGTTGAATATGACATTTAAGGTGTTTAATGGAAGGGAGGAGCAGGAAAAATAGTAAAAGCTTCCAGTCATATAGAGAAGTGCCCTGGCAGCAGCCCTAAGAAGATGATAGAGTACAGAAGAACTCCACCTGGAGCTTGCTTTAAATGTGGCAAAACTGGCCACTGGGTGAAAAACTACCCTTCACCATGCCCGCTGCCAGACGCCTGTCCAACAATGGATGCTGGAGAGTTGACTGTCCTGCTTTGCCTAGACAAGCTAGGCCAGTCACCCAAATTCCTCCTCCACAGGAAAGTTTGTTGGATCTTCTGGGCCTGGAAGCCTAAGACTGACACTACCCTGGGACCTCTGCCTGCAGTGGAATCAAGATTACCACGGAGGAACCTAGGGTGATTGTCCAGGTAGCCAGTAAGTCTCTGTCATTTTTAATAACTTTGGGAACTGCTTGTACTTCCTGCTTAATCTGGTGAAATTTATCCTTCTCAAACCTGATGGTGTTTTTCAGATTAGCAGCAGCAACCAAGGCTTTCAGTTGCCTTCTCAGTTCTCTTTATATGTGAAAATCAGGCCTTAGGCCTCACTTTCCTAGAGCTACTACTAGGTCTAGACACAGTTTACCTTGCTACCAGACTCTGAAAAGAGATAAGCTCACAAAACAGATTTCAATATAACTTTTTACTATTCCTTTATTTAAAGGAACTTGCTTTACAATGACTGTTCTGTTCTCAGTAATCAGCCACCTATGTCTCATGGTAAATGATTGGATAGAAAAAAAGTGTATAGTTTATGTAGGGTCTGAAGATATGGAAGCTAAAGTAGGTTGTAAGGGTCTAAAAAAGTGTTTTAAGATATGTAAATGCAAGTTATAAAGGTCTAAAAGTGTTTTAAGGTGTGTAAATTCAATTTGTAACAGTGTAGAAAGTGATTTAAGGTATATGTAAAAATGAAAAATGTTTCAGATTTCTATATGTGAAAATAAAAACTTACAGATTTCTTTCCCTCTCTATGCTATTGTTATATTAAGACTTCAAAAATTCAGAGTTTAACATTAACCAATGGAGTTCTGATAAGCTATTAATCTAGCTCTGGTAAGCACTGACAGCTATTATCATAGTCACAAGCTGAAGATTTTAAATTTGTTTTGGTTGTTTTCTAAGTATAGACTTACAAGTGCTCACTGTGCTAAAAACTGAGAACTGAACAGATGCCCTAACAGGCTGTTCAATTTTCTGTTAGAGATCAGGCTTCAATTTCAGTTTCCTGAGACAGAGCAAACAGTTTCTGAGAGAGCCACAAAAAAAGGACAATTAATCACTGGTGCCCCTTACCTCAGGGACAAGGAGATAGGACGCATCAAGCCTGGGCCACTGAGCCAGCCCCCACAGTCAGTGCATACTAGGCTAGCCAGCTTCCATAAGCAGCTCAAGGACAGAGCCTGGCACTTGTCCAGGCCTGCCCCCAAATGGAAAAGCTATAGCCTAAACCAGCCCCTGACTAACCCTAGCCAATTAAAATGTACTAATATGACTGCCACTTGCTTAAGCTAATCATATCTAAAATGACTTAACTGTTCTAGGACCTCCCCTTGGCTATGCTTAAAAGGAGCCCACATATCCCTCTCGGGGTCTTCGATGTTTGCCTTTGTGTGAGATGGCAGGCCCCAGCATGCTGGAGTAAAAACACTCTTGATGACTACATACGTGGATGGTGGTCTTTTGTGGTACTTCTCCAGGACCCTAACATTAACATCTCTATCCAATCTACATATCCAGCCCTCTGGAAACACTGTTAATGCTTTTAACCCAGAATCATTTTTGGGTCCCCAAGATTCTACTATGACACAAAGGTGCTCCTACAATGTGGATTTCAGTACAGATTATAAAGAGTGGTAATGCTAACAGCTAACATATCTAACTTATCTCTTTTTGTGAACTTAAAAAAAGTTCTTGTAAGTTTCAGGGAATTGACTTGAATCCACCTCTCAAGGTCAAATGGACTCCAGATAAGTATTGCCAATCAAAATTGCATTTCCCCACTTGCCTATTCTGCTTATTCTTGAGAGTGGGATCTCCTCCACTTTCCCTGGTCTTGGAACTCCCCTCCCTCAACTATCAGGACCATGGGCCTAAAAGTTTCAAATGTAAACCTAAGAAAAAAATTCCCTCTCAACTCCTTAATATTACCTTCAGTCCCTAGTGTGTGTGTGTGTGTGTGTGTGTGTGTGTGTGTGTGTGTGTGTGTGTGTGTGTGTGTGTTTTCCAGCAAACCAGTTTAAAGACTACAAACTGCTCCAATGCACCCTGCACTTCCCCAGCCCTAGATGGCCCTGTAGAGCCTGGACAGCATGTCAAACAACTTGCTCTTCCCGGCTTTGGCCAGCATTCCAGCTTTCTTGGGCCCCCAAAGATGTCAATGCCCCCAGACAAGAGGAAGCAGTCTAAAGAGTTTGGTGTCCTCACTTTTACCTCACCAGTCACCCCTTCCTATTTCCTCATCTTTTATAATAAACAAAAGGGAGGAATTTCAGGAACTGCCCACATTCCAGAACCAAGTTCCTCCCTGCCTTCAATGACTCAGTGCCAAAACCATGTCATCGCTTGAAGGCCAATGTGGCACATCATTACTAAAGGGCAATGTGACACATTTCCACATCACCACTATGCCCATGCTTCATATCCATGATCTTCCCCCAGCCTGCACTATCATGGCCTGCTCTCTTTCTCTCTCATCCCACTCTCTTCTGTGAGGTCTGTTGCTTGGTGTGATGTTTGTGGCAATTCTTGGCAAAGCACTTCCAGTAGTAGTGGGGACTGAACCTAGGGTCTGATGTATAAGAGTTAACGGTTGGTTCTACCAATGAGCTACAGCCCAGCCCTTCAATTTCCAGTTCCATAGGAAAGGAAAAAAGCAGGTAGAGAAAGATAAAAACCTTTAGAGATGAGGGACAGTAATAAGGGGCAATAATGTAAGGGTGAGGCCTCTAGGTCACAGGGGCTGCTCCCATGTCACTAGCAAACAGGAATGGGCCCAGATTAGAAGTGTCTAAACATGTTTATCACAGATGAAAAATGGCATACATCTTTCTTCAACAAGTTTCCCTACATAACCTAGAACTTCAAACATACTGTACTGTGAGGAGTAGATGCTGTGTGAATGTGTATTACTGAGAAGAGCACAGCCATGTCAAAGACCCTAGTGCCTCAGACCCCCCAAAATGGCAAGACCTTCTTTTGATCCAAGTATTAGTGTTTAGGAGTAATTGACCTTTATCTAAAACCAGAAACTACCAAATATAACTTCCTCCTCCAGAAGTTTACTGCCTGAGACAGCTCCCCTACAGAGACATCACATGGAGACTAGCTAACCCCTCCCCTTCCCTGCTTTACATAATGAAGGTTAGATTTAGTTCACTGGTTAGTGAGTAGGTGCCCTCCATCAGATCAAACACAGCTCACCCAATCTCAGCCTTTCTGTATGTACACCTGTCATTTCTTCATTCCTGCACTATCCCAGTTAGGTTTCTAGGAGCAAGCTGTGCAAGATCCATAAGGCTTCCAGCCTCCATATTCCCTACCAACTCCCCTGTTTTCATCGAGGACCTTGACTCTACTCTCTTCTCTTCACAGAGTAGGTAAGAAGCTGGCCACTACATTGTTCCATGGCTGATATAGCCCACTCCCAGAGAGCACAAGGACAATCCCTACACATTCCTCTGGTTCCCCAAACCTCTTAGATCACAGATTTCATTCATGTCAGATAGCAAGTATGGCAGTGTTTTCTCCTTTTGGCTAATTAGTCTTTTTTTTTTTTTTTTTTTTGGTTTTTCGAGACAGGGTTTCTCTGTGTAGCTTTGCGCCTCTCCTGGAACTCACTTGGTAGCCCAGACTGGCCTCGAACTCACAGAGATCCGCCTGGCTCTGCCTCCCGAGTGCTGGGATTAAAGGCGTGCGCCACCACCGCCCGGCTTTTTTTTTTTTTTTTTTTTTTGGCTAATCAGTCTTAATTACTCATGGTAGTTCACCTGGATGCCTTCAGAGCCAGCTCTGCAACTAAGGATTTACAGAGGTCCCACAGTGCTATCTCACCTGTACTGTAGACTCAGATTTGGTATTGGCACATAAGCAACTATAGGAGACCAGACCATGGAGCTTCCTTAACTTTCTCCATGTGGGGCAGCAGGAGGGCTAGAACCTTCACATTCACATCCATGATCTTGTTCCAGAGCACTTCCAGAATACTTTCCAGCAAGGGACAACCTCTGTCTCACACACCAGTAAGTCAACGAACCCAGACTGTTCCAGGGTCATGGCTAGCAGGCACTAGCGGTCAGTCTTTAGCTTTCCCCATGCAGCACGTGGTGCATCATGCTCAGTCCCTCCCTGATCATGACCAGGTTTGGTTCAATTCTGTAGTTTCCAGCTGCAGATAACCAAAGGTATCTCATGCTGGGCCTGCGGCTGAGTGCCAGGAAAGCCTATTCTTTTGCACAGCCAGTGACCATAGTTACTCTATCAATCAGAACACGGCTCTTCCCTCCTCTTTGCTGAACACTCTTGATGAGAGAGGGACTGAGGAGCAATGAAGGTCTCTCAAAGCCTGACACAGCTGTGAATATGGTAGTTACTCTTTGGCCTTTTTCTTCCTGGATCTCAAACTAAGTAAAAACTCAGGATAGCAGCTACAGAAGCAAATGACAGGAAAATTCTCCTCAGCACTGGGTGCTGGGCATTTCAAATTGCTAAACTAAGTTAATATCAGTAAATGTTTGATTTGTTGTAGCGATTTTATATATCTGTCTACGTAAGGTTGCATAAACACCTCTTGGGTGAAAAGGCTTCATGAGTGGAGAAGTTTATGAAGCCCTGAAGTAGAGCACTAAGAAATGATAGGATTATATTTTGAAGCTAAGGGATCAAGCTAGTCACATATTTCCATGAGTTATTCAGCTTGCAGCTGGAGACTTCTTTCAAAGCTGTTAGGTGACTATGGCACAGACCATCAGATAACTCAACTGTGCCTGTGTCTTTCCTTCCTAATTGCTCTCCTTACTTTGGGATATCAGGTTAAGTACCACCATCTCCTTCAATAGGTGACTAAATAGAGTATCTACTAACAAACAGTTATTGCATCTGAATAAGTATTCTCTTCAGCTTTATTTGTAATATAGGAGGTAAGTGAAGAAGGCACCTTGGTATAATAAAATTTATTAAGTATGAAAAGAAGGAAAAAAATTATAGACTCACCTTTCTTCTGGATAGACTTTCCCAGTTTCCCAAAGTCTGTATGGTTTTTGAGATAAGAGTTAATGTCCTAATTGTCTGTGTATCCTAGAAAATGTAAAAATGACCAAAATTCTTGTTAATTTTTCAAGAAGTAGAATTTATATAAAAAGCAAAATGAAGTGAATAGACTATACGGCTCTAAAATAGTGGCTAAAAAATGTTCATTCAAACTAAGATAGTTAAAATGTAGCTAAACCTAGGATAACTTACAGAACTTAGGGGTTAAGAGACTAAAGAAGCTGGTGGTGAAGGTCTGTGATCCCAACTACTTGGGAGGCTCAGACAGGAAGACTCCAGGCCTGTTTAAGCTACAAAGTGAATTGAAGTTCAGTCTAGGCAACTTAATGTGATTGCCTTGTCTCAAAATAAAAAGTAAAACGAGGGTTGAGGGTACAGCTCGGTAGTAGAGGCCCTAAGATTCCATCCTCAGTACCATTAAAAAAAAAAAAGACATATTAAAGATTTAATGACCTGACTTGTTCCCTTTGAAAGACATAATTTAATCAATTGTATCTAATGGCTTTGTGTGGTCTATAAGACTGGATCACACTATAGATTTTATTCACTTTTGGAAGATCAGAACTATCTACTTTTTTCTACCATGTAACTTAAAATGGGTGTTTCCAACTTTCTGTGCTCAGTCTACTTCTAAGCAGATTGAAGAAGTGGACTTTTGCAATCAACTGTTGCCACCATGGAGGTGGAAGGGAAATCCAAATTCAGAGCAGGCAATGAAGTCACCTCACTGACACAGGATCTCACCAGAAGGTAACTATTTGGGTCTGTTATACAAGCTATCTTTCAGATCTGTCCACCTGACAGAAGTAGTTATAAATAAAATGGACAGGAACAGAGTTCTCCCATGAGTCTTTCATCTTTTCCTTCCTTCTTTCTTTTTTTAAAGACAGGGTTTCACTGTGTAGCCCTGGCTATCCTGAAACTTGTTCTGTAGACCAGGCTAGCCTCAGAGGTCTACTTGCCTCCCAAGTGCTAGAATTAAAGTGGTGTGTGTGCCACCACTGCCCTGCAATCTTTTCCTTTTAAACTGAGGTATAATTTACTTTTAATTTAGTGACTTGACCTGCTTCCCTGTGTACAGCCTGATAAACTCTTACCAATCTCCATTTTTATATAATCTACCTACCTATCCTACCACAGTAAACTATATTATCAAAAGACATATCTAAGAAATTTAGTTAAGGAGACATATTGTTTTAGTTTCTAGTATCCCAACATTGAAAATAGGCAATCAATGTGGTGGGGATGAAACGACCAATGAAGAAATCTGAAGTAGTAATATCTGGTATATGATTAATATAATATATCTGGAAAAAGTTATAAATTATAGTTATCCAAAAATATTTTAGATTGAGCATCCAAGATTCCATACTATCTCTAAGAGGTCCCTACTGCGTAACATTCTTTAAAGTTTTGGTAAAATTAAACTTGAATTAAATTTCACAAGAATTTTCTATTTAATTTTGTTTGTTTGGTTTGGTTTTTTGAGACAGGATTTAACCTTTAACTCATAGATCCAACTACATCTGCCTTCTAAGTGCTGGAATTAAAGGCATGCACCACTACTACCCGGCTTAGATTTGACTTTTATTTTTAAATTCAGTGTTTAGGTTATTTTTTCTTGAACTAGCAAAAGGGAACAATGCCCATTTTATTCAATTCCAGACCACTCCAAGCTTGTTTAGACCCACACAACCATGGCTTCTGTTGTACAATCATGTCATTTAGCTGCTTTGATTACCTGGTACCATCTACACAGAGATTATAATAAAATTTTCCTTCACCGTCTACTGTACCTAGGGCCTTCATCACCTGGCATCCAGTATACAACTTGGTACTGTCACTCAGCAAACGCTAGGTAATATTTATTAAATTCAACTGCAATGTTGTGCTGCAGGCCACAGGAATATATCATAAGAACTCAGCTGGTTATGGCAAAGTCACTACCTGGAGGAATCAGGGAACTCCTCCAGAGGAAGCCAAATCCCAAGGAGTTTTTGGTATTACTTGGCTTGTTATATATCAGCTGTCTTCTGTTATGAAAATCATGTGTGCCTTCATAGTTTTCCCAATTGACTTTTCCCTAAGAAGGACTAACAGTGTAGACTGATCACTCTCTGGACATACACATTCCAGGTATTTGGAGAACAGCCTCAGGAAAGGCTTTCTCTGGAATCAGATTATCTCCCTTAGCCACTTTCAAGGACTACAGGAAACACCACCCAGGTGGGCGCCCAACTTCCGAGGATAACAATGATAACATCCCACTTGCAAGTCTCCTGACTTACGGTAAATTCCACAAGGAGACACTGCCTAGGAGAGGTGGACGTTAAGTAATAGCTTTACATAATTTAACTCGGACCCTCCCTTATATATACTGGGACTAACAGGGCACAGGACGGAGAAGAGAAAAGAGAATGGAAGAACTAGATGGGTAAGAACTTGAGAGGAACAAACTGAGATGGGGAAGAACTAGATTGAAGGGCTAGAAGAGAGTACCAGAGGAACGAGATGGAAGATGAGGAAGAGCCGGATGGGAAGAACAAGATGAGGAAGAGCCAGATGAGAGAGAAGGAGATGGGAGAGGAGCTGATAGCGGAAAGAACTAGATAGATGAGAACTTAGAAGGGACAGAACTAGATGAAGGAATTAAGATAGAACCTAGAGGGGACAGTAGATAAATATAGAGAGAAATCAGGCAAGAAAGGAGCTAGACATGAGAGCAGAATAGAAGCTGTGCAGAGAGAACTATCACAGAATAATAAAGTGAATGAACTAAGGAGTTTCGTGTACATAGATTCATTTCTTTTCATCAAAGATTAATTATCAGCTGGTTGTAGATTCTTCCCGGACCCTGGGAGGGGACTATCGAGGGGCTGGACCCCCCTAGTCCCCGATAATGTTGAACTTTTCAATTCAAAATAATTTAGCATACATTTTCCTTTCCTCCCCTCTTATATCGACTTATTGAACTGGTACCATCTGACTGTCTTTGGTCTACAAAAAAATAACATCACAGGTTTGCTATAATTTTTCAAAAGAGCAGTTTTTCTGTGCTCATTACCTTTTCTAAAGATGTTCTTCTGAATCCCCTGGGAGTCTGACCTGGAGGCAGCAAAGCCTTCACCCTCTCCCCTATATTTAAATCATGAATCTGTTTCCCCATTAAGAAAAAGACTCAACTTAGAGCTCCTTCTCTGAACTACCATCTTTATTAATTAAACACTCCCTGAGCATGTGACTGTCCTAGAAACTGTCATGAGCTTTGGGTACACATATTTGGAAAAGGTCCTGCCTTGCCCCTGAGGCACTGGCAGTCTATGTTCAGAGGTTATACACAGATGTTACTAGAACAGAATATAAAAATGCCATGACAGACAGAGTGCACAGGGTATTACAGATATATATGAGAGACAGAAAACAAAACTAACAGGTTAAAGAGGTCTGCCTTGGGAGGGTCTTAAAAGGAGTTATCAAGGAAAGAATGAGAGATTTGCATAATGAAAATAGTCCAATTTTTCCTTTATGAAACTTTAGCACTGGTTTACCAAGTCAATGTTCCTAAAATCTGTATTTTAAAAAGAAAACAAAACAATTGCCAAGGCAATTCAAGTGAAGGTTTCCTTTGTTCCATTCTTCTGCCAGTACTAGAAATTCAATGTGGAGTCTCACAGATGCCTGGTAAATGCCTTACTATTGAACTACAGTCTCAGCCCTTAGTCCATCTCATTATTTGTATTTTTAAATTTTATTGTTTAAAGATTGTGGTAGTTTGAAAGAAAATGGACCCCAAAGGGAGTGGCACTATTAGGAGGTGTGGCCTTGGTGGAGCAAGTCTGTCACTGTGGGGGCGGGCTTTGAGGTCTCTCTTGCTCAAGCTTCCCTCAGTATGACAGTCAGTTGACTTCCTGTTGCCTCTGAGTCAAGATGTAGGATTCTCAGCTCTAGCACCACATCTGCATGCACACTGCCACACTCCCCATCATGATGATAATGGACTGACCCTCTAATACTCTAAGTGAGCCACTCTAATGAAATGTGTTACTTTTTAAGAGTTGCTGTGGTCATGGTGTCTCTTCACAGCAATAAAAACCCTAAGACAGAAAATTTATTTTTTATGTGCATATGTATATGTATGTGGGCATGTGCACACCAGGGTGCAAGTGCCTCAAATTCAGAAGAGGGGTTAGATCCCCTAGAGCTGGAGTTATGGGTGGCTGTGAACTGCTTGATATAGGTGCTGGGAACTGAATTTGGGTTCTCTGCAAGAGCAGTATGCTTTCTTAACTTCTGAGTCATCTCTCCAGCTCCTCCATATTTTAAAAGTAGTGTTTTCAAAAATAGTTACTTGTTTACGCATATATGTGCACACGCATACCTTCTTGAATCTGTCTTTCAGCAAGAACAGCTCATATCTAGTGTCCTTGCTATGATTATTTAGCTCCTTGTTCTTTAATGTACCATTGTTTACTCTAAAACTAGCTTCTAGTTTCTTAATATTAAAAAAATTTCTATATGTAAGATTTAGTAACGTTTGATCCTGAATTACTTTGTAACTTTCAATACATGACAATATTATCATCACTCTCAGTTCTCTGAGATCATTCTGTATTCTCAGCTTGTACAGTAGCATCTACTCATACTTTTTATTTGGTTCTAATCAAGTGTTAGCTTTAAATTTATGCAAGTAGTTCTAGACTAACAGAAGTAGCTGTGCTCATCCCTAAATCACCTATACTAAATAATGTTATGTGCTTTCTCTATTCCCACTACTTCAAAATTTCTTTCAAATGAAGGGCTATGGTTTAAGACCTGCTGGAGATACTGAGGTGGCGGGGGTAGGAACACACAACAAAAAGGGACCAATAGAAAAGATGGAAAAACTGGAATAATAAAACTTCATGAAAAGTGACCTAAAGTGTTTGTGGTTAGAGGGATTTTATTTCAACATTTGATCTAGGAATTCCAAGTCTGAATACAAGGCAGAGACATAAGTTTAGAAATGGGAGTTCTGTTAATATGTACTATTTATATTGCTGGCAAGCTTCCACTGCCTCAGGTCTTTACAGCTTTAGTTAAACACAGCCACAGAAAAGACTGCCCCGTGAACAAAAGGACAGGGGCTACACAGAACATATTATTTTTTGCTATTGCTACATGGCTCTACTCAGCTAACACTGTGAGGCTATCTAGGGGAGGTATGGGCATTTAGAATCCAGTTCAGCTGCAAAGCCTACATGTCTTCCCTACAGTGCAGTACTTGATGGCCTGTAAGTACATTAAGGTAGGGAATGTCAAGATGCTCCAGTATCTCCAGCACTGAGCACTGTCACAGCAGCTGTGTAAGTGTCTGAACACCAGTCTGCTTACAGACTGTGGAGACTGAACCGAGTCCCATTGAAATCCAGTTCAAACTGGGTAGGATCCAATCATACTGCCTTAGATATGTGGGCCTAGAAGTATTGCATGTTGATTTCCTTACCTGTACATGGGGTTAATAAAATAATTTACTCCTACAGTGACTAGGATGACCTAAATGAGTTAAACATATAAAGTGATTAAAACAAAGCTTGGTACAAAGTAATCACTAAATGTTTCTTCTTATCTGTTATACAAATTAGCAGCTAAAAGCATTAAGAGTATAAAGTATTTAGAATAAAAAAAGCTAAGGAGTGATTAAGATATGCTGTATGGAGAAGGATATAGAAATAAGTTAAAAAAAGAAACTTTAAAATATTAAAAGTATATATGCAAAGAAGATTTAAATTTAGGTAACTGAATAGAACTTCAGAAATAAATTACATGCTTTAAAGAATTTTAATCTTATATTTTGATATAACTTAAGTGAATAGAAAGCAAAAATATGAAGATATCTGCTGTGGGATGGTCTGTATGTCAAGTGTGTTGCTAATTAGTCAATAAATAAAACACTGATTGGCCAGTGGCTAGGCAGGAAGTGTAGGCGGGACAAGGAGGAGAATAAAGCTGGGAAGTGGAAAGCTGAGTCAGAGAGACACTGCCAGCCGCCACGATGAGAAACAGCATGTGAAGATGCTGGTAAGCCACGAGCCATGTGGCAAGGTATAGATTAATAGAAATGGATTAATTTAAGCTGTAAGAACAGTTAGCAAGAAGCCTGCCATGGACATACAGTTTGTAAGCAATATAAGTCTCTGTGTTTACTTGGTCGGGTCTGAGCGGCTGTGGGACTGGTGGGTGACAAAGATTTGCCCTGACTGTGGGCCAGGCAGGAAAACTCTAGCTACAGATATCAAATAAGTTAGGTTCCTATACAGTTTGGAAAAATGAATTTCATTTTTCAAATTTCTCAGATTTAAAAATATTCCCATGATTAAACTATCATAAATTGGGTGTAACAGGCGTGCTTATACTCTGAAGGCTAAAACAGGAATACTGTTGCAAGTTAAAGTCAATCTGGATTATGTAATAAGATTCTGTCTCAAAATATAAAAATAAAAAATAAACTGTTATAATAAACCAGGAAAGGGTCTGTTAACAACCAGCCAAAACCACTACCACCATCCTGTAACTAAGGACCAACGGCACTTGTATTATAGAAAATCACACGTACAGAACAGCAGTGGGAAACCCCGAGACACCTCCCTCCTCATCAGCATTTTATCACTGGTGAAAAGTCTTAGCACAGCAGTATAAGTGGTTTATTTTTTCTTCACTTTACTAAAAATAAAAATGGAATAAAGCTTGAGAGGAACAAACACTTACTGGATAATGAGGTCGCAAATGAAAAGTATGAGGTGATAGTATCGCTACAGCAAAGAAACGAAGGAACACAAAGCTGGTCACTGCAGAGTACTGAACATGAGGGTTATCTGCAGGGATAAAACGGTGAAACGTCATGCAAAACACTAATTAAAAACCAAAGACAATAAAGTAAAAAAATATGTAAACTATGTAGGAAAGAGGAAAATAATGTGTAAAGTAAAGACTGAATTTGTGAAATGGTACTAATGATTGTGGCTAAACTAAAAGAAAAAAATGCTGTAACTTAAAATAACAAATAAAATGAAAGGCAAAGTTGCTATGTTTTTAAAGAAACATTTTTTAATTTGAAAAACAGCCTTTTCTTCATATAGTCTTGAAATTACAACAAAAATAAAAGCAGTATCCAGCACTACCCAGTGGCAAATTCAATACCAAAAAGTAGCTTTCAGTTGTACAATTTTGTTTCAGATTCACCCTAAAACTCTTGATGACATCAAAGGCCATCTGTATGGTTAACTTTGAATATCTAGTTTACTGGATGCAAAATGCCTAGGAGACCAGTAACCCACCTTTGTATGTCTCTGAAGATGTGTTTTGGCCCCGGTTCACTCCTCCCTCTCCCTCCCTCCTCATTGGCAGGAGGTGAGCAGCCTCCTCGGCTGCAGGACACCACCACAGTGTTTTGCTGCCTCAGGTCTGACTAAGGCAATGGATCCTGCCGATGCTGGACTAAAGCTCTAAAACCATGAACCATATCAATCCTTTATATTGTTTCTCCCAGGTATTTATCACAAAAAGAAACATCAACAACTTAAAAAGCTACCAATATTTTACATAAAATTGCAGATGAACTGCAGTAGCACTGATACTTGTAGCACTGCTCACTCATCTTCAGTACTTGGTTCAGACTGGAGTCAACAACTAACCTGACAACCAGATGCTAGAAGTGGGTGGTGGGTGAAAGAGTTTCTAGATTTGATGTGAGTTTTACCTCTTATAAATCACTCAGCAGGGAACACCACCAAGCTGTCCACTGTTCGACTGCTTGCCCCTATCTATACTATCTATACTCCAGGTAGTAAGAACAAATGAGACTTCAGTTTCATCATCTAACCAATGGGCATGGCCTCAAACAGTGTTAGGAGTAAAAGACAAGACAGGCTAGCAAGCAGGTAATACGGTTATGATCTAGCTCACTACTTGAAGATAGAATCCAATCAGCACTTCATCTTTATGTATGCAGGATCAAGTCTCTGCTTCCTCTATTGATTATGAAGGTTAAAGATATTTAATTAAAGCTAAATGTTTTGTATCTTTATTATAACTAGCCAAGAGACCTAAACCTGATTCATGTATAAGTTAGACAACTCAGCCATACTATTTTAGTATTGGGTAAGTTAAACACAGGGACAGATACATGCAAACATAATAAAATAACAAAATCTCTTTGGATGGCTAAAAAAGTTAACTTACAGTTTTATGCAGCTAGATAAACCTGATTATTAACAGGTAGCTGCCCTATCTATGCCTCCCCCTCTGTTAGGCAGATCTGCAATGGGCTTTGGCAAATTTATTTATGTAATAGAAATGAACTAAGTACTAACAATAAGAGGTAGTAATTCATAGCTTTATAAATTCTTTCCAAGAAAAATCTTAATATAGCTGATTTTGCAAAATTAAGCACAATGATTTCTTGATATATGTACCTCAAAATCTTATGTATGTTGGGACAAGTGTTTGTAAAGCCAAAGACTATTTTTGATAAAAACATCTCTCCAGCATTCCCAAGCTGTCAAATCTAGTCAATTGTATGAAACTAATGATTACTACTGTTTGAATATAGGCAAATGGGAAAACAACCGGTACAACAAAGGTACTCCTATGTACTCCACAGGCTCTTAAATATGTAGTACATAAAGGCTTACTTATATATTACAGAAAATCTTATAGATCCAAACTTTTCCTTCTTAAAACTAATGATTTTGATTTGCACTTTATATAAAGTTGCCATTATACTGAAATAAAATGGATTGCACTGTTCTGAAATTATAGGAAAAATAAACCATAAAGTCTCACAAAGAAGCTAGCATCATTTTGAAAAACTTCTAGAAGACTGGACCTATGCACAAACATTTCACAGAAACCAAATGAACACCATGTAGGAAAAAATATAGAAAAAGAAATGGTATGACTGAGTATTATCAAGGCACTTACTAGGAAATCTCTTAGTAGCCATTTGCCTCAGAGAATAAAAGATATCACACATCACAGTGGGGCAGCTCACACTTGATCCTACAATTGTATTGAATACTTTGTCCACATAGTAGTGCAGATTCTCCTGCAGAATTTAACAAAGTAAACACTAAGATTCTGACTTCCACACATCTTCAATAGTCTTTACGAAAAAAAGTAATGGATATGAGATTTATTAGACGATGGCCATCTAGTATTCTAAAGGCCTGCTTCCATTCTCCAAGTTCATTCAGTTAAAAAGGCAATCAACATTCTGACTTAATTTAATAAATTCAGACTTTCTAGACAGGTGAGTATAGGAATAATTTTCACAAGAAGCACAGCTAACAAAACAATAAAGAGGGAAGCCAGGGAAAGAACTCATGATAGGCACCATTAGTACACTGCAACACAGTTTATACTACAGTATATAAAACCTGTGACCCCCAACATAATTATAGATTTCTCAGTCTCAACTAGAATCATTATGTCACTTAGTCCGATGAGTCTGACCTGAAAGGAATAGTCAGAATGGAGGTTGTAACTAGCTGCAGCTTAAATCCATTATTATTAGAGGTTACTGTCACTACTGTTGGTTGCTCACTAGAACTAGATGGGAAGACCCTACTGCTGAAGACATCATGTGCTCTGGTCTAGAAATTTTCTCCCCGTTATTCAGCCTTCACAGTGTTAGAAGGTGTAATGCAGGCTGCTAATGCAGAATTGCCATTAAGAGTTTACTCAGAGCCGGGCGGTGGTGGTGCATGCCTTTAATCCCAGCACTCGGGAAGCAGAGCCAGGTGGATCTCTGTGAGTTCGAGGCCAGCCTGGTCTATAAAGTGAGAGCCAGGACAGGAACCAAAACTACACAGAGAAACCCTGTCTAAACAAATAAACAAACAAGCAAACAAACAAAACCCCAAAACCAACCAAACAAAAAGAATTTATTCAGCTGCAACCCTGTGTACTGTACTATTGACTTGTCAGGCAACAAGGGCATCACTGTTTGGGGATAAACAAGCACTCTCTGATTTGGATCTGAGGCCTGCTTCACAGGAGGGGATTCTCATTTGACACTATAAACCTGGCCAAAAACCCATGGCTAGGGTAAGGGTGGCGGTGTGGTGGGGAAGTTACTGCTGCTGATTTGCTAAATAGATATGCCTATCAAATGATCTTCTAAATATTTCTGTTTAAGTCCAGAACTAGTGCTGCTGTTGGCTTTGGTCAGAGAAGCTTCTCTTTACAGTGGGTGGCAGCCACTGTAGAGGCTCAGTGCTGAGAATAGGTGACTTCGTCACCTGAGAATAGGTGCTTAGCCTTAAATGGGCTATCTAGAATACTTCCCTTGAGGTTCAGGGAACATCACTGAAGAGTGGACAGAAAGAATCTAGGAGGAAAGAGTGACTGTCTCCTAACAGTATTTTGAGCACTACATGGCCACTGCACTCTTGAATTCTCAGTAGCTATGATCAACAGAACAAGACCTATATGAAATCAGGCCCATCAACTGTCTGTCATGGAGTGGGGAGAGGCTTATATAAGTCCCTACCTATCCCTAAGGATCTACAGGCAATAAGGGGTTGCTGGGGGAAGGAGAAACATTTTATTTATTTATTTATTGGTGTTGTAACTATTGGTAAGTTGTCTATGCTACTATAATTAACCCCTCAATTCCTGTCCCTAAGTAAACTTACTAGGATACATGAACTCACACGGAAACAACACACACACACACACACACACACACACACACACACACACACACACACACAAGTAGAAAAGAAGGGTCAATAATTAAAAACAAAACCTTAAGAAAGAAGTAAAGGTGGCAGTCAGAGAGGCTCTGGCAGCTAAGAACACACACTGCTCTCTCACAGAAGCCCAGGGTGCTCAGCACCCATGTCAGGCAGATCACTTCTGCCTATAACCTCAGCTCAAGGGAATTCAAAGCCTCTGGATTCCACAGCACTATATTTTCACACGAATATACTCACAATTAAAAAATAAAAAAGAAAGAAAAGTTGAAGGGGAGGACTAGTTGGAAAGAGGAAATGGATCAGTAGGAGAGGGAACAAAGAGGATAAAAGGGGTTAACATGATCAAAATGCCTTCTAAACATGTACAAAAATATAACATAACCTATTATTATCTATAATATCTGCTAACACAAGATCAGCTTCCAAAGAAGCCAAGCTCAGGTCCCAGCACCCATATCAGGCAGCCCAACTGCCTGTAGCTCTGTTCCAGAAGATCTGATGTCCTCTTTAAGCCTCTGCTGGCACCTGCATTCATGTGCACATCACCTCCAAACACACATATATAATTAAAATGCTAAGTTAAAAAATTTAAGACTAGGGCTGGAGAGATGGCTCAGAGGTTAAAAGCACTGACTGCTCTTCCAGAGGTTCTGAATTCAATTCCCAGCAACCACATGGTGGCTCACAACCATCTATAATGAGATCTGGTGCCCTCTTCTGGACTGCTGTCATACATGCTGTATACATAATAAATAAATAAATCTTTAAAAAAAAAAATTAAGACTAAAATAAGGTAAAATCAACACTAGGAAATGTCCTGAAAAATAAAGGCTCATGTAAAGAATAAACAACATTGTTTCCAGACACATGGCATTATTAATTTTAAGGGTGGGGGTGGGGGTAAAGAAATGGCTAAGTGGTTAAGAACACTTATGTTCTTGCAGACGACCTGGGTTTGATTTTCAGCACTCACGTGGTGGCTCACAACCATCTATAACTCTATTCTCAGATAATCCAATGCCCTCTTCTGATCTCCCCAGGTACTAATCACACATGTGGTGCACAGCATACACACAGGCAAAACACTCATAAAATAAACCATTTGCGGGAGACAGGTATAACATTAAGAAAAAAATTAATGTAGCTCTAAACTGCATTATATAAACTTACCTTATTATTTTCTACATTATCTCCCTCTTTCAACTTAACAGGATCTATTTCACAGGATTTCGAGGATTCACATATCTGAAAAATACATGTGTTTTTCAGTTACTGTTCTTTCCTAGGTAATTTGACAACATGAAAGTAATGCTTTTTCTGATAATATAAAAACTAAATCTAACGAAGTTTAAAGCCCCTACCTGAAGATATTATGTACAATGTAGACACTTTCCCAAAGAACTGTATCAAAATTGTTTCTTTTTTTTTTTTTTTTTTTTTTTTTTTTGGTTTTTCGAGACAGGGTTTCTCTGTGTAGCTTTGCGCCTCTCCTGGAACTCACTTGGTAGCCCAGGCTGGCCTCGAACTCACAGAGATCCGCCTGGCTCTGCCTCCCGAATGCTGGGATTAAAGGCGTGCGCCACCACCGCCTGGCTCAAAATTGTTTCTTAAAGACTTAGTAAAATAAAAATATAACGAACAATAATGTAGATCGATGTGCCTTGTGAATAAAAATTCACTGATGGCAAATTAATTTACTTATAAAGTGTCTATCCTTATTCCTTCAGTAGCCCATGAACGGACAGATCCTTCAAGTCAACATATTACTTCTTGAAAGAGAAACTCTAGACCAGTGGTCCTCAACCTTCCTATTGCTATGACCCTTTAAGACAGTTCCTCATGTTGTGATGACCCCCAACCATAAAATTATTTTCGTTGCTACTTCAAAACTGTAATTTTGTTACTATTATGAATCATAATGTAAATATCTGATATGCAGATGGTCTTGGAGACCCCTGTGCAAGGGCAGTTCAACCCACAGGTTCTGAACCACTGCTCTCGATGGTCACAGACTTTGGCAATGAGGTCTATGCTGTACCTCGTCTAGAACAGGCTTTAATGTGACTTTCAAGTAGTGTCCTCCCACTATTTTCATCATCTCATCCAGACACCGGGTCGCCAGGGAATTTCCTCTAAAAATTGTGCTTGCATCTCTGAAACAGAAATAGAAAGAGATAAAAATCAAGTACAGCAAAGAAAGAAGAAAAAGTTTTGAAACAGTAACATTTTTGACTTTGATTATATACACAATTTTAGTAATTTTACTACTAACAGGAAAGTCTGCTGCCATTAAGAGTTTCTAAAACTATTCAAACTACTTTCTGAAAATGTTAGCATCAGTTTAAAGAAGAAACTGTATTTATTAATTTAAACAAATACAGTGTGGGTATGTGTGCATAAAATGATGATGCTGTTTTACTATGATGGGAATGGAAAGCCATCTGATTGCTCCTCATAGTGTCCTATGTGTGTCTTACAAAGTGTTCTTACTACCTGACTTGTGAATCACTGCATCAAGAAGAAAAGACCAGCAATAGTAACAAAGGAAACTGCACCACTGAATTAAACACATTTCCTTATTAACTGGTCCTTATTGCTGTTGGATTCTGTTTGGTAACTTTTTTTTTGAGCGGGTTTCTCTGTATAGTTTTGGTGCCTGTCCTGGAGCTCACTCTGTAGACCAGGCTGGCCTTGAACTCACAGAGATCCACCTGGCTCTGCCTCCTGAGTGCTGGGATTAAAGGTGTGCACCACCACCGCCCAGTCCTCTGGTAACTTTAAGAACTGTCTTTTGTTACTGACTAAGGAGTTCTTTTTCACCTGTTCTATAGTAAACTTGGTCAATACAAAAAAACAAAACAAAACAAAACAAAAACCTCAAAAAAAACAACTGAGACTATAAAAACAATCTGGCAAATTAAAGTTCAATTTTAACAACGCATAATTAGCATTTAATGAAATACATTTCTTACTGGGTATCCTTCAAGTCCAGTTCAGCCACCGCAGTGATAAAAGGAACAAGTTTATTGTGATGCAGCAATAGTCGTACAAGAGGCAAAACAGCATCCTTTTGATCTTGACATATTTCACCCAAAATATAAGCAGCTGAGGCAGATACTGGCTAGGATACAGAATGGCAGAAAACAAGCACAAAATCAAAGAAACATGGTTACATGTTCAATCTGTGGATGTAATTTAAATACATGCATTAGTTACAACTGATGTATAAAATAGCATTTAGTTTTCTAAATTCTAATCAGAGATAAAATCTGAAGCACACATCAGCACTCTGGTTCAGAGAGATTAAATACACAGAGCTCTTTAAGAGCTGATACTATGAAAATTTTTCTTCATCATTTACAGAATTAGTTTAGCCTTTCACATCGAGTCATAAATGTAAGGTTTTTAAAGTACCTGAACATCTGGTGATTTTAGCAGCAGAGTTTTCAACGGATCATAGTACTCTGATGGAAGCACATAGTCTTCTGTATAACATAGAGTTAATCGAAGAGATCCCAGGTCATCAGTTTTAGATGACTTGTTTCCATTGTCTCTTGGTTGTAGCAAGTACCTAAAGTAAAAGTACTGTCACCTCCAAGTGGTGGTCATGAGGAAAAAGCAAGTGGGATAAACAAACAGGTAAGCTACTGAAAATAAAGCAGGGGCTGGGAGTGATGCTCAGAAGTGAAAATGTTCTCATCATATTCAATCTCCAGCATGTCAATGAAATTAGTACATACACGGAGGAAATCATTACTGGCAAAGATGAGATTTGAACTAAGCAGTTTGATTCTAGAATACAAGTTCTTAACCACTATCAAGAGTCATATATATGTTCTACTATACTGTTAAGTAAAAATAAAAGCATGGTACAGGTGGGTGTGGTATTGTGTGCACTTTGGAGGTTAAGGCAGGAAAATGGTGAGTTCCAGCCAGTCTAGGCTACCTAATTTCAATAAAACAAATACATGAATGAAAAATATACACACGTATTTGCCTATATATATAGAAAATATTCCCAGAAACTAGGGAACAGTGGCTGGCTCAAAAATAGGACCTAGCTGAGAAGCTGGGGGGTAGGGTGGGGCAGGAGGCAGGATTCTCTTTTGAATCTTTTTATCTAGAAATGGTGCGAGTGCATTACCTATCAAAAAAAAAAAAAAATTGGCCAGGCAGCAGTAGTGCATACCTTTAATCCCAGCACATGGGAGGCAGAGGCAGGCAATCTCTTTGAGTTTGAGGCCAGTCTGGTCTATAGAGCGAGTTCCAGGAGAGCCAGGACTGATAGTTATATAGAGAAATCCTGTCTCGAAAAACAAACAAACACACAAACAACAACAACAACCCTTAAACCAAATCAAATTCTATTATATACACAGGGCAAAGTGAAAATTAGCTAGTGTCAACATGAACAAGATAATGCTAACATCTGACTTAACTATCACCATAAAAAACAAAACAAAACAAAACAAAAACCCACCAATGTTAAGGAGGTAAATCAGTAAGAAAAAAGGGGGCTTGAAAGATGGCTCAGTGGAACAGCAGCACTTGCTGACTATCAGAACATGGCCTAAGAATGGAGTCGTACAAGGGAAATTCTGAGTGCTTGTGAGAAAAGGACAAGTCCTGTGACCTCAGTTTCTTAAAACAAAACAAACAACCACCACCACCCATGGAATTGTTCTTGGAATATGTTTTCATGCTCCTCCCAGGTGTAGTGGATAGGAGTGAGTTTACTTCAATTATTCATTACAACTGGCTATTGTTATTTGTTTATATGCCTCTATGGAAAAACTTTTTTTTTTTTTTTTTTTTTTGCCACATGCAACTTGTCCCTGTGATTGTACACTTTATCCATGTGATTCTTCTTTACCCTCAGGGTATAAATTGTCTAATGCTCTGGATGAAGTTGGTTACTGCTTGACACTTTAGTCTGCTTGATTTTTAGGTTCCATTCTCCCAGGTTCCACTGTTAACAAGAGCCAACTAGAGTGATACACATCTGACAACCTTATTCGGATACCCAGAAGCCAGGCGGTGGAAATAGAGCAACAACTCCTACAGGCATTCACATGCTACACACAGGCATACACACATAGGTAAGTGAACAGACAAATGTAACAAAGTTTTAAAAAGAAAAAGTGATGAATCATGTTATAATCTGGAGAAATGGAGCAGCAGTTAAGAACATTTGCTGCTTTTGCAGAGGACTTGGGTTTGGCTCCCAGCACCCACATGGTGGCTCATAACGATTTGTAACCCCAGTGCCAGGGCATCTGACACCCTCTTCTGATCTCCACAAGCACCAGGCACACATGTAGTACACACACATACATGCAGGCAAACACTCATTCACATAAAATAAAAATCTTAAATAAATTAAAACTATAAAAAACCAGGAGTCCAATATAATAGGCAAGTACTAAAGGAAATTATTAGAAAAAAAGAAAATAGAAAAACTTCAAACAATCTTACTGCCTATTGATAAGATATGACCCTTTGCAAGACCAAAATTAAGAAATAATTATGGCATTTTCATGCAGTTGCCATCAGCCCCACTAGAGGATGCTACAGCGCTACAGTGAGGAAGGCGACAAAGCACCTTGAGTGAAAATAAAATGGCATTAATATTGTTGTATTTCCCTACAACGTACATCAATACACAGAGATGAGCAGAGTCTTCTTTTTTTTTTTTTTTTGGTTTTTCGAGACAGGGTTTCTCTGTGTAGCTTTGCACCTTTCCTGGATCTTGCTCTGTAGCCCAGGCTGGCCTTGAACTCACAAAGATCCGCCTGCCTCTGCCTCCCGAGTGCTGGGATTAAAGGCGTGCGCCACCACCGCCCGGCCAGAGTCTTCTTTTTAATGCAGCATAAGTTTTAGCATTTACGCTTCTGACAGGCTACTTTAAAATTTTCTATTATTGGGAGCTGGAGAATGGCTCAGTGGTGAAGATCATATGGTGCTACTGCAAAGGATTTGAGTTCAGTCCCTGGCCCCCACATCTGGTAGCCACCACTACCTTAACTTCAGCTCCAGAGGGTTCAACGACTTTGGCCTCAAAGACACCAGCACTTAAGTGCACATAAAATATTTATACTATTGACAGAAGAAGCTGAAATAAAATTACTTATTGTCTGCTAATATTCCATAGTCTGCCAAGGTAGAAAGTTTTGTCAAATTTGGAAAGTATATTGAGAGACAGTGTCATTGAAAGTACATGACATGGGGCAGATTTCAAGTTCATTTTGGTGGGCTCTGAGAGATACAACAACTCATTTTTCTCTTCTGTACTAAAAGGTATGGAGTATTATTTTAAAGACTTAAAAACTGAGTTCAGAAATTTTCATGGAGATGCAAGAAAGCATGGCATATGGAGGGGGCAAACATTGATATATTTTTCTTAATGATAAAGTTATTCCACCCCCACCCCGCCCCGATGCATTTAGAAATGATACAAAATGTCATTAGAGAGACCAATACATGTCAGGCTTATTTTAGAGGAGTTAATGTAAATAGAGGTAATAAATAATGTAAAAAGAAGTCTAAAATAAGGGAGACTATGAGATGGCTGGAAAGAAGATGCAGGCTCTTTTAAAGACCAAAAAGAAATACCAGAATACTCTGTATCGGCCATGGTGGCACACCTTTTATCTCAGCACTCAGAAGGCAGGGGCAGGCAGATCTGAGTTCAAGGCCAGTCCGGCCTACATAGCAAGTTCCAGGCCAGCCAACATTACACATCGAAACTCTGTCTTGGTAAACAAAACAACAAAAACAATCCCTAGATATCCAAATGTCAACCCCTCTTCCAGGCAGCAGAAACTGAGTTCTAAAAAGTGTTTCTCATGGCTAACACTGCACAGTGTGTACACACCACATTATTTAAATCCATTCACTCGTCAACAGACATTTTGCTATCAAAGGGTGAAATCCCAGCATTTGTGGTAATCTGTCTGGAACTGGAGGTCTATCATGTGAAACAGGCAGAGAAAGATAAAGGCCACAAGTTCTTACTAATTTGTGAAAGTTAAAGTTGATCCACATAAGAAGAAAGGAGCATTGCTAGAAGCAGGAGGGAGAAGGGGTAGAGAAAAGGTAGGGAGTGGGCTCTAAATGCAGCTGTGGGAACAGCAGCTCTCATGTTTATAACCCAATAGGTTAGTAACTATAGTCTATAACAATTAACGTTGCATAATTAGTTTCTCAACATACAGAAATGGTATTTGTGGAGATGGACATGCTGACTATACTGATTTGATCATTACACACTATATACATGTGATAGTACTTATTTTTCTCTAAGTAAGCACAAATATTACATTTCATTTTTAAAAGTGATCTTTAAAGAGAAGTGACAGAAGCTGGAGAGATGGCTCAGCTGATAAAGTTCGTGCTATGTAATCATGAGGACCTGAGTTTGGATTCCCAGCACCCACGAAAAAGCTGGGCTTAGTAGTATGCACATCTGTAATTCTTGCACAGGGGAGGTAAAGACAGATGGATTCCCTGGAGTTCACTGACCAGCCAGCCCAGCTAATCAGTGAGCTCCAGGTTCAGAAGTCCTTTCTACAAAATAAGAGGAGAGTGATTGATAAAGATACCCAGCATCAAGCTCCGTTCTTTACATGCACATTTACATGTTTACACAGCCACAGGAACAAGCACCACCCCAAACACACATACATATGATAACTGAGAAAGGCTTGTTTCAACATACTCAGTTGAACACCAATCAAGGAACGCTGGCAAAGATATGCAAAAGGGACAGTTTTTTTAAGGGCTATAGACAGATAAAACGTTTCACATTGAAATAAGTATGAATTTAATGTCTGAACATTAAGTTTACTAACATTAAACCTAGTATCACCACTAAAGCCATGAAAAGGTCAAATAACACTATAGTCAATACTGAGCTCCCAGAGCTCCTAAACAGTGAATCAGTTCAATGCCAACACTCTACTCTCAGAAAATACACCAAGGTTATCTGCATTTTTAATAGTGTGTGGTGAAGGAAAATCATACGCCAATCCCCAAAAACAACTGCATCTTCTCAGTAAGCCCTTTGCTTCTCACCCACAGTTCTTGTGACCAAAAAGCCAAGTATCTGAACTGCATAGGATGACTTGTGATCAAACATCTTCTCATAAGTGGTTCATGAGATGTCTTACTGTTTTACTGGGATCTGAAATGTGGTCCAGATACAGCAGCGAGTTCATCCATCTCTACAGCCCCAAGATTTCATTTTTAAACAGAAAAATATTCCTAGACAACTAAGTTCTTTTTATCTCAGTATCACAGATCAAGTATCATGACTATTAAAGTGCTGTGGATGATTGACTGATAAATAAAGCTGATTGGCCAGTAGCCAGGCAGGAAGCATAGACGGGACAAGGAGGAGAATTCTGGGAAGTAGAAGGCTGAGGCAGGGAGACACTGCCAGCCATCACGATGAGAAGCAGATGTTAAGATGCTGGTAAGCCACGGGCTACATGGCAACTTATAGATTAGTAGAAATGGGTTAAGATATAAGAACAATTAGCAAGAAGCCTGCCACAGCCATAAAGTTTATAAGTAATATAAGTCTCTGTGTGTTTACTTGGTTGGATCTGAGCGGCTGCGGGACTGGCGGGTGAGAGAGATTTGTCCTGACCGTGGGCCAGGCAGGACCAGAAAAACTCTAGCTACATTAAAGTACTTACTTTTCTCTAATAACAAATTCACAACCAAATTAATATCAGTAACTTTGACCCCAGTAAGCATGCATTTTTCTTAAAGAGCGTTACTTGAGCATCTTTAGTTCACTAGAGCATTGTCTTCTTACCAGGCTTGATGAGAGGAATCATTTCTTAACACATTCACAGGAACCTTAATTTCACCCAGGAAAACATCTTGGACTAGGTTTTCATTATTCCACAAATCAATCCTGAAAATTGAAAACCTAGCTTTAGTCTTTGTGAACTAGGCCGAATAGTTTCAAGTGATTTTGATGAGTATTATAACATTAATTTTACATGCTTAAAATGAGATGTTAGCATCTTCATATACCTCATTATCCAGACTTTGAAAGCAAAGTACTACAGTAACTTTTATTGAAAAATCACAATTTAAATTCTACATTACATTTTAATTTATTAATTTGGGGGGAGGGGCACATGCCACTGTGCACATGTAGAGCTCAGGGGACAATTTATAGGAGTTGGTATTTTCCCTCCATTGTATGGGTCCCAGGGACAGAATTCAGGTAAAATGGCTGGGCAGCAAGTGCCTTTACCAGCTTAGCCATCTCCCTGGCCAAATTCTAAATAGTCTAAAAGGAGAAACTTATGTTTTTAAATCTGAAAGTTTAGTATTTTTTTTAAATCTGTAGCAGTGCAGTAAGGACAAAAGGGTTACTCAACTGAATTCGAAAATACAAACAATATAAGACTACAGTTTCTCTTTTGAAGACAATTAATATGTAAAGATCAGTGACTTAGAAAAATATTGCCTACCACTGTGAACACGTGATTAATGTGCCTTTTAGATAACACACTGTTAACACCACACCTACACATGCATTTGCAAAAGTTTCCTTTCCAAAACAGCATAGATATTTAAGACCTAGGAAATCTCACAAACTTCAAACACATGCACCTGTGGAGTTATCTCCTTACCTCACTGAAATTTCTGATAGTCAGCAGATATGTTAAGAAGAATAAAAAAATTATTTCTAAATTGGCTTAAATATAATTGCTTTTCCACTCATTATACTATAATCCAGATAGTTAAGGAACAATTAAATTAAGGGAAATTAAAAGCAGAATAGGTGAAATTAGGTTGTCTTTGCCTACACAAGAAATATACTTTGGTATTTCTGAAAAGAAATCAGATTTTGAAAAGATAATTTGGATTAAATTAGATGTCTGTTCCTCTAAGTTTCATCTACCAACCTGCTACAGAGAATTCTATCAAAGTTCACATGGGAAAAAAATCAATTCTCTAGGAAAACCACAAGGCACACACCTGATTTCCAATTTTTCAATGTCCTCTTCTTCTACCTGGAACTGGGACTTCCTGGTATAACTACTGGATCTGGTTACCTATAAACAAAATATTTTAGTAAAAATATTTTAAAGTATCTTTTTCCATTGTGAGCTCAAAAATGACAATTCCCAAAATATTCAACTACAAATATAAAAACAGTCAAGTGTGGCAGTAATATTTCAAAGCATGGAAAGTATACCAACGAGGCCCCAGAAAGCTAAGGAAAGGTAGCACAAAAATCAAAGGCATCTTTCCTCCATACCACTTCTACCAGTTTACTTGTAGCAACATCTGGTTCCTGGTTTACAGGTGTCTGCCAGTAACACGAAGAGGAAAGCACCATGTTTAAAGAGCTACACTTCTACACACACCCTGAAGTCCCCGCTTCTCAAAGCACACCACTGTGCTCTTACTTCCCTCTCACATGTTTACTCAAAGTGTCAAGGCCGCCAGGCAGGGACCTCCTCAACTGCCGCCCTGCTGAACATCCACTTCCCGCCCTCAGGCCTCTCTCTACCTGAGTCTTTCCAGAGATGATTCTAAGAGCACCCCCGAGGCTAGCCCCTTCCTCCAGTGTATTTCAGCATGTGCTGTAAGCATCTGACCTATCTTAATTACAGCTTTCCTCACTAGTTGGATCACTCCCTTCTAGTCTAAGAACAAATTTCCTCTTAAATCATAGCCCTCCTGCTCTTTCTTTTTCAGACAACTACCTTCAAACTAATCCATCCCAGAGCCAGTACTTCCTCACCACCAGTAACCACTTTATCACCAGCTTCCTTACAGATCACCCTTGTAAAATCTCTCTTCCTCACCAAATCTGTAGTCAACTCATGCTCCTTACTGTCCCTGGGCTTCTCCTTCTGACCTATTCCCAGAAGAGCTCTTTGCTCTGAGTTTACCTGAGGACTATCCTGCCACCTCTTGCTACTCTTCTCTTCCTTAGAATCTACACAGGTGGCATTCTGCTTTATTTTGTTCTAAGAACAGCTTAAAGCCACACAGTGTTGCCCAGCTTACAAAGTGCTATTGTGCCATCATCTCTTTTACACATCAGAATGTTGCTTTGAGGCAGGCAGGGCTAGATTTATTATCCTGTCTTAACAACGAGGAAGCTGCAGTATGAAAATTAAGTAGCACATCCGTAGCTGAATACTCAGTGCAGAGCTTCTGTGGTTCTCTCTGTTGCATCTCTTCATTTCCTTGGCTTTGCAGACTGTGACAAACTTGTATTGTGATCTACAGTTATCACCTATCATATTTCAGTCACGAACTGTTCTGTTAGCAAATTTTATTTGTTTTCTGAGACAAGGTGGCCTAATGCTCACTATGTAGTTGAGACTGGCCTTGAAATTCTGGTTTTCCTGCTTCCACCTGTCAAGGACTAGGATCACAGGCACACATCACATCTGTTGCCTGGTGCAGGGTTTGTACACAGATCCACGGGTATTTCTGATTTTGTTTCCCTTTTCCTCCTATACTCAGTTATCTTGACCTGCAGTACCTTTCTTCTTTGCCCCTCTCTCAGCTGTCTGAACACTGAAACCATAAGATTTTAGGCACCTGCTAAGAGATCACAGTTACTTCTTTCTAGGCTCAAGGATATTCAATGACTACAATTAAAGCTTCTCCTGCCTGGCACTGGAGGGTCTCATTCACTGGTTTATCCCATCTTTCTATTTTTTTTTTTTTTGGTAATTTATTTTTATTTAATGTTCACTGGTGTTTTGCCTCCATGTATGTCTGTGTAAAGATGTCAGGAGCCCTGGAACTGGAGTTACAGACAGGTGTGAGCTGCCATGTGGGTGCTGGGAACTGAACCCAGGTCCTCTAGAAAGGCAGTCGGTGCTCTTAACCACTGAGCCATCTCTCCACCCCCATCTTTCTATTCTTAATTCTGGTTATTTTCTTACCAAACTTGGTTAAGTCATTACTCAGATGTTCTTGGGGCCTAACTTTCAGTTTTTTCTGTCTCTGTGCCTAAAATGTTCTTTCTCTGTACTATTCTCTTTGTTCTCACTTAGGAAAATCTAGTCTTTCTTTGGACTGTTTTGACCCTGGGCTCAAGCAATATGAGCTGCACATTATAGCTGTGTACATGTACATATGTGTGTGCTTTCTTATGTCTTGCTCTGGTTTGCTGAACGTATCTATCTTTGTAACCTATCTAACAAAGGGTTCAATGAATAAATGTTTCAAGGCCTGACAGGTAAATTGGTTTGATGAGCAGTTAGTTCAGACTCTGACTTTCAAAAAGTTACCTACCTGCTTGTAATGAGGTCCTACCACAGTGAATTCCAGCCCATCTGAGGTGTGAACTATATGCAAGAGTGAGTGACTTTGGAAGCAGCTTTTAAAGTGGCCATCTTCTTCATGTTCTCATGGTTAGACATAAGAGCCATTAATAAATGTAGAAAACTGCACCAAGTCCTCCAGGAAATGAAGTCTCTTGCACTTGTATGTTTTCCTTTTTCTTTGCTTCTTACCTCCCCCCCACCCTAGTTTCCTATTTCACTTTTGGTATTTTCTTACAGTAATCAGGCATGAGAAGGGGTACTCTGGTGCTCTCTCCAGAACAGAAGAGAAACACAAAAGAAAAACTTTTTGATAACTACCTACAAATTGTTCTAGCATAATAATACCAATTGTAACTCACTCTGTTACCACATAATCTTTTAGAGATTTTGATTTTTAATTTTTTCTACAGTCTGCAATTAATATGAAAGAGGATTTATTAAATATTTCAAAGATACCAAAGCACTGTATTTGGACAATCTCAAGGCAGCTGAAGATGTACCTTGGTGGTCTAGGGGTTAGGACTTGCTCAAGGCAACCTTCATGAATAAGATATATCTACAGAGTAAATTGGATTAAGGAGAACTTAATTAATGATATAAAGGTTTAAGCTTGAAATGCTTCACACTCCCAAGGAGTCTTGTATTTGGCACATTTGCTAATGTTTTCCCTTAAAAAACTGCCCTTTCACAGGGTATGAAATGCAAGCTTCATGTTTAGTTCATCATTAAACATCATCAACTGGGAAAAGATTTCAGATCTTCTGAGTAGTAATGCTTGTTTTTCTAGAGGTTTTAATAAGAATGCTCAGAAGAGTCACTCTGTGTCAGGCGGACTGGAGAGTGTGGGAAGAGGCTGGAGGATGCTGTGACAAGGAGGATGACTACAGAGTGGGGATGCTCTAGCCCTCCTCACTTCCAAACCCCAGAGCTACATGTGTTACATCATGGTTCTATTGCTTTCTGGACAGAAATTACTAGTTACATTAACTGACAAAATACTATGGCTGTGGTTTACAAAATTAAATCAACTAGAATTCTACATTAAATATTAATATTTATATAAACAAGAAATTACCTCAAAATAAAAGATTTCATTAAACTGCGGATTGCTTGTTTTCTTCTTTACTTTTGTCTTCTTTTGGTCATTCCTGTTCCAATGTGGTAGAGTTTTACCTTGTAGAACTTAATAGTACACAATTATAAAACAAGCTATTTCCAACCAGGAAGCCTGACCTTTGTCTAAATGTTAGGATGACTGAGGGAAGATAAGAATTTACATACTGTGTAAGGGAGAAAAGCCAATGTGGCCTCACAATCAAACAGTATCCATACATAGGATACAAGTTTTAGGTATTTATACATGCCAAGATTGGGTTACTCTCTCCATGGCTGTGAGAGGCTGATTGCCAAAATCTCTTTCAAAGTATTCAACACATCCTACTACATAAGCAGAAAAAGTAGTGAGGAGTAAGGCAGTGAGCTCCAAGTGCCTTTCCTGATGTTGAAAACACCTGGAGAGGGGCTGGAGAGATGGCTCAGGGGTTAAGAGCCCTGGCTGCTCTTCCAGAGGTCCTGAGTTCAATTCCCAGCAACCACATGTAATGAGATCTGGTACCCTCTTCTGGCCTGCAGACAGAACACTGTGTACATAATAAAGAAATAAATCTTAAAAAAAGAAAAAAAAAAGAAAACACCTGGAGAACATGATGTGTCTCTTAGTTTACTTCTGGGGTGTGGCCCTGACAGTGATGTAAACAAACCAACTGCTAATTCTCAAGTGAGTATACAAACTCTGAGGCACTTACAAATAAATGTTCAGGGAGTCTTGTGTCTTTACCCAGACTCAACTAATGTCTTGTGCAATTATATAGCAAAATCAACTGTGATTTAAAAAAACATAGTTTCTATTAAATGTTAAAGTTTCATTAACGAATGTGCTCATGAGAAGCTGGACAGTGGTGGCAGTGGTGCGTGCCTTTAATCCCAGCACCGGGAGGCAGACACAGGTATTTCTCTGTGACTTTGAGGCCAGCCTGGTCTACTGAGAAAGTTCCAGGACAGCCAGGGCTACACAAAGAAAGCCTGTCTCAGGGGGAAGAAAAAAAAAAAGGATTTGTTCATGAGATAGAAATCATTAAACAGAAAACGAGAGCACCCTCCTGAGTTGTGGTGTATCTCACTGGTAGAGTAACTGCTTATCATCAATAGGCTGGGTTTGAATACAGAACTACCAAAAAAAGTTTACTCCAAACAAGCAGCACCTCTAGCTGACTTGTTCCCCCCTCCCAACCCCCATTTCTCTGTGAGACAGGGGTTTAACTAGTAGTTTAGGCTGGCCAGAATTTGTGATACTCTGCCTCCCAGGTATAGGATTATTGTTATGCTTCTAATACCTAGCAGGGTTGAATATTTTTAACATGGTGTGTGTGTATGTGTGTGTGCAAACCTTCTGACAGCTTTTAATGCTGTATGAATTCTTGACTTTAAATGTAAAACCAATCTGTAATAATAGCATACCAGTATTTCAGCTCCCATGGTATCAGATACTTTTACACACACACACACACACACACACACACACACACACACACACACACACACACACTTTTTAAGACTTTGTGACCTGCTGAGGTGGTAGTGCACGCCTTTAATCCCAGCACTTGGAAGGCAGAGAGAGGCAAGCGAATCTCTGTGAGTTCAAGGCCAGCCTGGTCTACAAAGCGAGTTCCAGGGCAGGCTCCAAAGCGACACAGAGAAACCCTGACACAAAAACAACAACAAAAACTTTGTGACTTAAAAAAAAAAAAAAAAACAGGCCGGGCGGTGGTGGCACACGCCTTTAATCCCAGCACTCGGGAGGCAGAGCCAGGTGGATCTCTGTGAGTTCGAGGCCAGCCTGGGCTACCAAGTGAGTCCCAGGAAAGGCGCAAAGCTACACAGAGAAACCCTGTCTCGAAAAACGAAAAAAAAAAAAACAAAAAAAACAAAAAAAAAAAACAAAAAAAACCAGAGCTCTAGGTAATAAAGCGGAAGTGTGTGTAAGAACAAATTCCATGCTTTTGTTCCCTAACTCTAACAGCTTCAAGTTGCAGATAAACTGCAGCCTAGTCAGTCTCTTAAAGAAACCACAATGAAGTTCTCTAATATAGACATTGCTATTGGGTTTTCGTAAGTTGTAGACTATTTAAAGCAACGTTACAGTGCACTTCACCACTCTGGGACTTCAGTAGTTTTTCTAGAGCTTGGAACTCTTTCCGTAAAGCAATGATATCATGAATAGAAAAGGCAATTTTCAGTTCTGAGCTGCTTTCCAGATAACAGTATGGAAACAACTTTGTTATATTGAGCTGACATTTATTAAAACTTGATTTTTACTTGTATGACATTAAGGTTATCTAAAAGTAAGAATGTTATAAGTAAAGGCAGCCAGATTATATGATTTGGGGTTTTTGTTTTAGACCCTGGATGGCCTATAACTTGTCATGTAGACCAGAGTGGCCTAGTATTCACAGAGAGCCACCTGCCTCTGCCTCCCAAGTGCTGCGATTAAAGGCATACACCCTCCATTCCTGGTCCAAGGTATATAGGTTTTCCCCATGGTTCTAGTAAATACATAACAGATCTGAAATGATACCCAGAATCTTTCTGTGAAAACAAACTTAGTTGATTACCAAGTGTACACTAGAACTTACTAAAAATCCTTCTTTTAAAGCATTATTTTATGTCATAGCTACTTAGCATTTGGTCTAAGAACTTTACATTTCCAATTTCTAAATCCAACTTTAAACTTGGAAATCCTGTAACAATTCAATAAACATTACCTAGAAGGGCCAATTAAGGAAACTGTTGCATAAGGATCACAGCTTTGTCCATTTATGAGAGGCAATCCATGGCATGCCTTGATGCTAAGGAAGAAAGAGATTTTAAACTATTAGAGTCAAGTTAACATCATAACATTTATCTCCCCCCACCCTACCCCTTTGCCTTCTTATGGACTGGGGACAGAAGCCTGAATTCACATATACAGAGCAAGTGCTCTGCAACTGAGCTGCACTCTCAACTCTAAACATTACCTTTAAGTTGAAATCAATAGCCGGGCGGGGGTGGCACATGCCTTTAATCCCAGCACTTGGGAGGCAGAGCCAGACGGATCTCTGTGAGTTCGAGGCCAGCCTGGTCTACAGAGCAAAATCCAGGACAGGCACCAAAACTACACAGAGAAAGCCCATCTCGAAAAAACTAAACCAAACCAAAAAAAAAAAAAAAAAGAAAGAAATCAACATATTCAAAGGCCTTAAAATTATTTACCACTTTTGCAGTTCCAATACACCAACTACTCCAAATGATGTTATTTGCTTATTTACATGATTATTGCCCAAAGAGAAGTAAACAGGAATGACACAATCGGTACTCAGTCTACCATAACACATTTCTTCCTGGTAAATACTCAAGGTACATTTTGTGGTTTGATAATACATCAAAACTGCTGTGGCTTCTAAAAAGGAAAAGAAAGTGGTGTAGCCTTACATGAGAAACTACAAACCAGGCCAGCACCATGGCACCATATCCTCTGCTAAAGCATGAATGACACACAAGGAAACGGTTGTGGTTTTACTTAAAATCTGATTCATAAATAGAGGGCAAGCTTCACATAATTCTGTAGTCTTTCGTGAGGGTTCTCAGCAATAGTTCCTGCGTTATTCTGTAGAAAATGTTCTAGACTATAAACACCAAGGCCATCCAATCCACTTTATGGATTATAGTTGTAGTTATAGAAAGCACAGAACACAACTTAATGATCTGATTCTCAAAATTTCTCAGTAATTATTACTAAGTTAGTTAGTTTAATGTCTAAGTCTTCATTTCCTGCTGCGTAACAGAAGCTCATGAATGCTGCTAAGTGGTTTTTTTTTTTTTTTTTTTTTCTTTTTCTATTTGTATTTCTAAGGACCAGGGCTACTGAGCAACATCCTCTATTTCTCTCCAAAAAACTTACTCATTACATATACGGGTGAACTGCAAATGGAGAACTGACAAGTAAAGAGAAAATTAAAAATAAGATTTCTTTCTATTAAACTGGGCATCAAAAGTCAAATTTTAAAAATTCTGAAACTAGGGCTGGAGAGATGGCTCAGCAATTAAGAGCACTGGCTGCTCTTCCAGAGGACTAAGGTTCAATTCCCAGCAACCACATGGCAGCTCCCAACTGCCTGTAACTCCAGTTCCACGGGATCTGACCTTTACACAAATGCACATAAAATAAATTTAAATAAATTATTTTAAAAAATTCTGAAACTAACCAAAACAGCACAGGCCAAGGCACCATATTTTAGGGTTTTTGTTTTCCCACGCATGAGGCGTCATTAATCAACTACCAGTTTCTTCTGTGACTGGTGGGCCTTTACTAGCTCTGTGATATATGGTGCTCTCATCTGCCTGACAAAGCTGAGAAGCAAATTATAATCAGAACAAACTGCTTCCAAGAAACTTAACTGATACCGACAGAACAACTCAAGCACATTTCAGGAATACAAAGTCTTTAGTGACTTCAGTTTCCAATGTAAATAATAAACATGGCCTATTGTGAAAAACAAAACCAAAACAGAAGCAAAAATGACAGAAAATAAAATTGTGGACAAGGACATTTAAAAATTTTATTTCATAGCATACAGAGACAAAGAACACCTTAAAAAACAGAGGTCTAGCCGGGCGGTGGTGGCACACGCCTTTAATCCCAGCACTCGGGAGGCAGAGCCAGGCAGATCTCTGTGAGTTCGAGGCCAGCCTGGGCTACCAAGTGAGTCCCAGGAAAGGCGCAAAGCTACACAGAGAAACCCTGTCTCGAAAAACCAAAAAAAAAAAAACAACAGAGGTCTAGAGATAGAAAAAACGTAAGGTCTGACATAAAAACACAGGTAAACTCAGGTATTTGCTAAGGCCGTGGAGAGGAGCTAAACAAACACGAGAAGAAGAGAATTCGGATTTAGATGTGAAAAGCTGCAATGGTACAGACAGTACAGTGGGTGTGAGACTAAGACTCACACCAACAGGTTCAATGTACGAGGTACAGACCATCAAAAACATGTGTTTCTCCAATAGTTGTAAAGATACCATACAGAGTTTCTGCAAACCCAGTACTCAGTGTTAACCAATGTGAAACTACTGTAATAGTGAAACTACTGTAATAAATAACATTAACTTTAATGTTGCTAACACTAATCTATAGATGTCACTTATTTTGCCAAGATCCAGGATGCAATATGGGATCCTACACTACATTCAGGTACCATGTCCCCTGGGATACTTGCTTTCATATTAGTTAATCTGAGTTTGTTTGGTATTTGCTCATGACCAGATTGGAATCAGATAGCTTGATGTCCTCTACAATATATAATATCGAGGTACTGGATGTCTCATTACTGTGAATTGGTTATCTATGAGATAACCTTAATGGGGAAATTCTTTGAGACTATACAAATATGCAATCATACTTAGGCAGACATGCTTAGTATTAGATACTTTCTTATCCTATTATATTTTATCTAGCTATTTATTTCTATCTTTTATGTATGAGTGTTTACCTAAATGTATGTACACCATCTGCATGTCTAGTACCTGTGGAAGTCAGAAGAGGGTGTCAGATCCCCCTGGAAATGAAGTTGTGAGTTACCATGTGGGTTCTGGGAACGAAACATAGGTCCTTTGAAAGAGTAGCAAGTGCTCTTAACCACTGAACCACCTCTCTAAATCTCTAATTATATTTTTATTATGTGCTTTTATTTTTAACTGACATATAACTGTACATACCTATGAATACAGTGTGACAGATCAATACATTTATATAATGTATAATGATCATATCAGGGAATTAGCCTATCTAACATCTAGACATAATTTCTTTGTTTTGGGAACGTTCAAAATTCTCCCTACTAGCTGTGCTGAACTGTGCTATAAACCATCAGAAATTATTACTCCTGCTGGGCGACAGTGGTGGCGCACACCTTTAATCCCAGCACTTGCGAGGAAGAGCCAGGCGGATCTCTGTGAGTTTGAGGCCAGCTTGGTCTAGAGAGTGAGTTCCAGGACAGGCACCAAAACTACACAGAGAAACCCTGTCTCAGAAAAAAAAAAAAAAAAAAAAAAAAAAAAGAAAGAAAGAAAAGAAATTATTCCTCCTGTCCTGCAGCTCTGTACCTATTAACAATTCTCCTTCCACAATCCTTCCCCTATGTGTTACCAAGGCTCTGGGAACTACTACTCTTTATGCACTTCCTTGATAATAGCTTTCTAAATGTCCATATATAACTGAGAGTGTGCAGTGTTTGTCTTTCCCAGTTACTAGTTGGTCTTTACCAACAGTGCTGATTTCGATCTCCATCACTCTTCTTGAATTCACTCATTAGAACTCTACTATAAGGAAGGAATCCTTTCCTCCTATGCATTTATTCAACTCTTTGCTTGTATCAGTAGGGATTCATGAATATTTATTTTATTCTGCAGATTTTAATCCATTATTATTACTAATTTTGAGGCTAAAGCAATTGGCCATCTGGAGTTCATTCAGATTAGTTTCAATGTCTTTCAATCATTCACATCTATCTGTCCATTATCTTGAGAGTATTTTTTACTTTTTAATTTCATAAGATATTCTAGCCTCATCATATATTTTCCTTATCCCAGCCCTGAAAACAGCCACCGTTAAAAAAGGATTCTAGGCTTCTGTTTGTTTTTTATTGGAGCTATACTAATATTGCAGCCATTAACCACATTTAGCTATTAAGTTTAAATTAAAATTAAAAAGTATGTAATCATATAGGCCATATTTCAAGTCTTCAATAGCCACACATGTCTGATAGGTATAAAACTGGGAATGAATATGTAAAATGTTTTCTTTTTCATATAAATATCTACTGGTCAGCACTCATTTTGTACACATTTGTGTACAATCCTGTACACACACCATTCCCCGAGCTCCTGCATCTTTAAATGAAATGTCTTTGAGAAGTCTGTCTTCAAAGGAGAGCAGAAAATGAGGGTGAGCTAGCTAGCAGTGAGGGGTAGATAAGTACAAGTGTCTCAGAGGCATGCATTTTAGGATGGGAGATCTAACAAGGCCAGTGAGAATCAGGAGACAGTGAAGCAGGAGAAAAGCATAGCCGAAGAAAGTGAGTCCTTGAAGTGGGGAAACAACTGCAAACCCTGTAACCTACAACAGAGACCTGCCTGGAAGGTACACTGCTACAACAGTGGCACAAATGTTCACAATAACAACCTTTGCCTTGACTTAAGGCCCACTCCAGGAGATGGAACCCAGTCCTGACACTGCTAAAGTGGTCAGGAACCTGAGACGAGATAGGTCATGGGCCTAGGGGAAATCTACTGCTATTATTCCGCTAAAGGAACATAGCAGCGACTCCTAATGACATAATGTTATACCCACAAGTAAGTGCATCACTCAACCCTCATCAGAGAAGCTTTCTATTGCAGTAGATGGAATTAACATAGAACCACAACTGGACAATGTGCAGAGTGGGGACTTTGAAGCACTCAGTCCTAAATGGGATGTCTTCATCAAATCATCCCCTCAAGGCTCAGGGGTCTACGTGGAAGAAGAATCAGGAAGATTCTAAGAGTCAGATGTAGTAGATGACTCCAAGAAAGCAACTGCTAGAGACAACAGGATTGATATAATATGAACTCACAGAGGCTGAGACAACATGCATAACACCTGCAGAGAATCAAACAAGATAAAATTCCAGCACTGAGAAGGAGAAGTGGATGCAAAGAAGCTATTTGCAACTGAAAACTGCTGGGAAAGAGAAAAATCAGTTTTCTCCAATAGTGTCTCTGGGTATATCATACACATTCCAAAGCTGGTCCTGTGCCCAGGAGCAGTTGGAGAATA